GCTGGTGCACCTTAAGAAAAACAATATATGCGCTGCCTATTAAAACTAGCGATACTGAAAAAAAAAATTATTTCTTCACACTAGTCAAGTTGATCGATATATATTTACCGACTAGACAGTGGCTATGTTTACAGATAAACAAAATGTCATGACTGCTAACCGTATACATCATTTGTTACAAGTGGTGTAAAATTAGGTTGAAAATTGGTGGACAAATTGATTTTACGGGTTTGTGATCACACGCACACGCCGATCCATGTAAAAAATGGGAGGCGTTTCCGGTCAAATGTTGCCAAATTTCGTACATTTACTCTATTGCAACCAAGTAACGTTCAAGTGAGGAAAAAATGCATTGGATGGTAAACGAGGATGCTACTACAGGTCAAATAAAATAGGAGACCCTACATTTTCGTACCAGGTACTCGATAATAAGGATATTTATATAGAATAAATATCGAGCCATTTAAAATGACTATTTAATTTTAAAGCTATTCAGTACTGTACCAGATTTATAATAAATTGCTTAGTGCAATCTTTTTATTGATGTTGATATTCGTATATACATCTGATACGTGTTTAAATGCGCGGTCTGTTTACAATTGACGAACACAGCGAGTTCTCTATGCGTGTGTGACAATGGCGCGCTCAGAAAAAATACAATTAAAAAATTTATGCAAGAAAATGTGGGAAATAGAACTCGTGTGACACCGCCATCTGCTCACAGGTGAAATGAATCAACTATTCTCAACAGTATAAATACATCTTTAGATTCTGTACACAATTTACTCAACATAATTACTGTATTTGATTTGAGGTGTTTAAATGTTAAAGTCAAATAACCATTTTTTCAGTTCCTATCACTGGATTTTTCTTATATTAATCCAATGTTTTTTACTACGGAATCTTATCGGTTTGATGAACTACATTTAAAAAAAAAAAAAAAAAACATTAATCTGAAAATTTTACATTCTGATTTCGAATATATATATATATATATATATATATATATATATATATATATATATATATATATATATATATATATATATATATATATATATATATATATATATATATATATATGGTAAAGGTGTAGAATGATAACGGCTACCACCAGTTTGTTGGCTTTTCTTAATTTTGCTATACTTATTGTTTTGATGATTTTAAGTATTTTAATAGAAACGACAACTTTCTATTATGATTTTATTTTTTAGATTTTTTTTATTTACTCTATCCAGCTTCACAATTCTCCTCCCGGCGCCATTTTTGTTGTTTACCTCGCTGAATCCCTCTTCAAGAGACGTTTCCTATAAACGATGGTAAAGGCCTCCACGTAATCCTCCTCGCCATTGCTGATGTATATCAACCTCAATATTAAGGTAAGTTGTTTAACACATAAATTAACACGATAATGTATAGAACCTGACCTAAAAAACACTACCTATGGGTATGTTAAGTCAGGTTCTATTAGGTTTTATGCATTGTCGTTTCCATTTTTGTGTTTAATATATGAGTGTACAAAAAATTTCAACCAATTCGGACAATTCCTTCTGGTGGTAGCCGTTATCTACACCTTTACCATATACTGTATACAGTAATGTATACTAGTTGCACTTACCTTAATCAAAATCTTTATTTACCCTGACAACTGATTTTTTGTAATTGTCCAGCTAGGTCTACACCGGATTGTACAATACCACATTCCAAACAAAACATAAAACAAAGATACCCGTGTGAAAAATTCATATCTTGTTATTTAACTTCATGGATAAACAAATCAAATAAACAAGATAGAGTAAAACATATGAATACCCTGTTCATTCACACTAACAGATATAGGTGTGTTTTGGCTGATACAACATTCAGGTACAGTACTGTATGTTTGTCGAGCTTCCCTAACCAAATCTTGGCCATGTCTGTATCAGCCATGGCTACTAGCCAACCCAAGCCCCTGAAGCACCACGCATTTCAGCTGCAACAAGGATTTACCACAAACTCCAAGGTTACTGTACTGAGCAATGTACTTATAACATGCATCAAACTCAACATATGCAAAGAATCAGTTAAAGCCATGAACAAACAGAAGTTAGGAGTCAGTAGTACGCAAAGAGTTAACACAGGCCACGACAACTCTGAGTTCAAGAATAAGTCTTAAGAGCTAACCGTACACTGCCCAGACTCATAAAGGGTCCTAAGATCAATATTCATTGTAACTGAAGTAATAAATTACTTACTGTACATTAATGGCATGAGCTAAAACACTAAAGGTACCATAATGCCAAAGAACAGCATCATGTTAAGGGAAACTATACCATTGGGGGAAGATTCTCTCACCTTTTTCTTCTAATTGGTATAGCATCTAGTAACCTATCTGAATGAGAAAAAGGTAAATTAATTCAGAGAAAAGCCAGTAACTACCCTTGTCTAATATATATATATATATATATATATATATATATATATATATATATATATATATATATATATATATATATATATATATATATATATATATATATATATATATATATTTTACTCTGGGGCACTGTTTAATGAAAAGGTCTTGAATAAATCCTTCGTCATGGACCTGCCAGTTGAAACAATTATTACTGGAAGTCATAACTCCATCCTGTGGTTTGGTTCACACAAACTGTTAAGGAGCTTACATATTGATTTTAGGAACACCACACTAGATATTAGCAAGTCTATTCCTTAATATACCAAGTAAATCCTAACCCATCAAACTCTCTGAAGGGTTTTCCTATGCTCCACTGAAGCACAGGAAAGCAAACAGTACCTACTGAACAGCTTATACTGCAGAGTACTGTACTATACAATAAAATACAACAAAATTAAAGTATGGTACCAAAGGAATGTACACACTATTTTGATGAAGTGGATTTTTTGAATACTTGGCAATGTCATAATTGACAGTCTGAATACAGGTACAGTATAGGGCTAACAATTCCAGATTACCCAAACCCCTTTCTATGGAGCAGGAAATTGAAGGAAAATAAGCTTAGTTTCTTTTTAGAAGAGCAAAAGCATAGACAGTAACAAGTCAATTACTGTACAAGAGAATCAAATTTTGTACATGCAATGAAGTTTACTGTAATTATTTTAAATTCCTTTAGGAAGATTCAGACCAAGCAGGTGATGATGTACAGGCACTGTAAGTCTTTTGTATGATATTATGAAATTACCAAACTATAAGCTGGTACAGATACACTCGGCACAACCACATACTAAAGTACATGTACTGTATAGTGCTGTATGTAGTACAGTAGCCTTCACTATAATGTATCATTTACTGGAACATCACCCCAGGAGAAGTCTTGTCAGCCCTATCAACCAAAATTCTTAAAGCGACTGCCTATCACGGCCCTGTTTGACAGTAAATCAGTTCTTCCCACTCCATGGACAAGACACCCAACTGGTCAATAAATTTCATTTAAAATAAAATTAAATACTACTACTGTACTGTATATTATATCTCAATAAACTTTAAACGACTTTCAACCCCAACTGAATCAAAGCTGGAATTTCCCTTACTCTATCAATACAGTAAGGTACTGTACAAACAAGATAATAAATAATTGGTGAGTGGTTCTACCTTATGGTATGATTTTGTGAAATGTAACTTTTTATGTTCAAAATCGGTGGAGGAAGATGTAAAATTCGACCTTCCCATGTATGGCTCTTTTTGAAGGAATTAATTTTATTTTAGAGAAAAATAGAAAGTTAATTTAGTATATTTGGTGAGGTTAGGTAGTTTTTTGTTTCATTTTATGTATGATGAATAAGAAATGGTATTTTATCTTATAGGAATAAAACAGGAAATAATTACAGAACAGTATTCTTGGTGGGTTAGTTTTCTTCATTCGATGTGTGATAAATTATATGTCGCTGCACCTAAAAACAATCTGTAAAATGAACCAACACTTGATCGCAAAAAGTAAACGTGGTGGAAAGAAGCAGCTCCCCAGGAACCGTAAAATGTAAAAAATTGTAGCTGAATGTGAGATTACACAAAATGTATTTTTCATGCATTCTCTTTTAGTTTCTTGAGCCCCTAACCACTATATCCTAAGTTTAATCCCCAGGTCAGATGTGAGAAGGGTGTTATCCACCTGTACTAACACTGGATAATGAAGGACAAGCTCATCAGGAACAAATGGTGGGGTGGGAGGATTAAACAGCTCACCAACTTCCTTTCCTGCCAAAGTGTTAAATACTGTACGGTAATAAAATAAAAAAAAACACTGCCCTATGCCTATTTTTGGCAAGAACAACAATTTTGGCATCATTCAGTGGCTCATTATTATTAAAATCAGATACACAACTGTGCTGGTTCCACCAATTAATGCATAAGAACATATAAACAGCAGTCTACTTGTTGGTAAGGTGAAGAGACAAACATTCTGAGTGTTACCTTATACTATTTTCTCAAACTTCATATATACTGTATATTGTATATGAAAGTTTTAAAGACATATGCACCTGAGCTTTTAGTCAGGTATTACCCCTCTTAGGGGAAGTTTTGTGGAGAATTAGTGATGGACTGTAATAGCTCTTCTGGAATTTCACCAAAGTGCATTACAGAAGTCTATACCAAGTAAATTCATCTAACAGCTCACACTTCTAATGCCAGATTAAGGAAGCCTATTGTCCACATAAGAAATGCACTGGAAAATAGTTGTTAAGAAGTAATAAAATCATTAATCTCTCCCTCTAACAATTATCAGGCTAAACTCTTGAGACTATTAAACAATGCGATCATTACAGCAGAGTTGTCCCTTATTCTGCAATGATGGAAAATATTAACAGTAGTGGAACAAATTAAATAAAAATAAAAGTATTTTGTGAGTATTAAAGACAAAAATGTAGGAGCTTAACATCGTGCGGCTGACACTACACTGCCTCAGTCTCAGATCAGCTGGGCCTCTGCCTACACTGTGCATCTCAAAATATTAAATGGCATAAGAAACTTCTTTTCTTACCTGCTGAGCGACAGGCTCCAAGATGCCTTCGATTGTTTTGGTGTGAAACACAGGCATGTTTACGGTCTGTGTCTAACACCTGTAGAAAATAACCATCTACTCCTCCGACAAGCGACACAACCCTCTCTCACTGACACCACACACCCGACTGAACTATCCCCCGGCCGCAGGGTTGTTTTGACTTAAACTCACACAGCAACATTCTTTTAGATTTAAAAAATACAAAATATTGGATTTTCATTAGAATTTTAAGATGACAGTCAAATATTTAGTATTATATATATTTTAACACATATATTGGTAGAATATTTCGAAAACAACCCTCAAAATTATCTATTAATGTGATTCCCGCATTATTGGAACACAGCTTCTCTGAAATAACTTAAGCGGTCTTGACCAAGGAGCTTTAACTATTAAATCTCCTTGGCCTTTAAACAATTTTCATGATTTTTGTGCTGATTATATATATATATATATATATATATATATATATATATATATATATATATATATATATATATATATATATATATATATATATATATATATATATATTGCTTTCATCAAATTTATAAAAATTTTGTATGATTCGTTTGTAAATGTATCTGGAAATATAATATACGACAAAACTTTATTTCTTAACGTGTACAATACAGTACCGTACTATAAATTTAACATCGCATGAGAATTTCTCTTTAAAATCAAGTTGCTTTAGCCTTATTTTGGATGGCTTTCAATGGTTGAGCACCCAGTAATCACAAATTATATAGACTTGCTGGTAAATGCTGATCAGCAAAGTTACTTGCAATATACAAACGTGGTAGGGATATTCATAAAATTATTAAGAAACGGTGTAACTGTGATTCTAAGATCGTCCACAATTAACCCAAACACGTGAACTATTCTAGTGCCAATACTCAGTGATAAATAGGTAGTTCGAGTAATAAATACTGTAGGTACAGTAGTTGATACCATAGTACGAATAAACCAACTTTGATTTCAGTTAAGTAGATCTTGTCGTCAGCGCTGGCGATTAAAACAGTGAATTTTAATTTTAGCTGGAACAATCTTAAGCTGTTACAGGCATTCAACTATTATTTCCTGTTAAAATCAGACAGTTCAATAAGGGTTTTGTTTTTCTTCACGGTAGTGAACTGAAAACACGAGGCTGTAGACAAATTGTTGCTTCATAAAGAGAGTTATATCAACTTTTTATTATTGATGGAAGAATGTAATTACGAACATGTTACATGCTTAACTTTTTTTTTTATCTTTGCCACAGACCGGCTTGACTGCTGCTTGGGCGGACGGTCACGTCTTTGTTGCACACTTTTCTATAATATTCTCAGCAAGTAATTTTTGAAAATTAAAAAAAATTAACATTGAACATATACCATCGCTACCACACCAATATAGGGGACTGAGGCCCAATTAAAGTGGGACCCATTAGGGTTAGGGACAAGTTGGAATAGGATCCTTATGTTTTTTGTAAACAATGAAAAAAGTAAGATAAAGCTGGTTGGATGACTGAACACTGAAATGTCTATTCTTGATACTTGGAGTAGCAAGACTAATAAAGAAGACATTTGCCTTTTAGAAGCCCCATTTTGTGGATAGAGAAAATTTGATGCCTTGCATATTAACAGCTATTTGTGGGAGTACATTTCTATTCTTTATGAATTGCATGATTCAGATATACAGGTAGTTAAAAGTGTAGCTGTTTTAACAGCCTAATAATACTATGTATACCCAAACACAACAGAATGACTCATTAATGAAGGATTAGAAGATCCTATAAATGACATGCCATTTGCAAAATCTAAAATGTTTAAATAAGGTTAAAAAAACCTGTAGAAGCATGTTATGATAAGAGTAAGGCTTGGATACATCAATGATGAAGTAAAATAACAAAATTAAGGATTTGGGATTTAATGAGGAAACAAGGGTGGAGAAATGTGAAGAGATGTGGTGCCACTATCATGTGTGAGGTTGTAAAACACATCTTGCTATGAATAGAGGACAATATATTTAATTTACACACCATATAAACAAAACATTCTGAAGAGGCATAAATCATTTAAAAAGATGCAGTTTTATGGAGAGGTATATTAAAGTTTTCTATACATTAGAGAATATATTATATTTCTTGTGTGATACCACAGTGCATAATAGGGATTTTATAAGTAGATCACACATGCTCTCATGCTTTAAAAATTCATCAACATAATCTACAAACTTTGTGATAAATTAAGGAATCTTGGAAACTACAAGAAATCCAAGATTTGTCGATTTAAAATGGTATAAAGTACTTGAATCAAGACATCTCTTGAAAAATTTACACACCTGAAATTCTGAAGGTTCTTAAGTCTTCCAAAACATTATATCCTCCACACATGCTTAAATACATTTACACCCCATCATCCATTTTGTAACAACTTTACAAACTGTTTAACCACATGAAAAATTAACAATACATAGCAAAGTTATCCTTCTATAAACAACCTGTTTGACCAAAATGCTGCTCCTGATTTGAACAGGTATGAATACACACATTTACATTATGTGTGTGTAAGCAAATATTAACCATGAAATGTTGGAGACGCTACTGAATTTACTCAATTTACTTTATGCAATTATAAATCTGGCAAGTGGTGGTATAGTAAGAGTAAAACTTTCATTAATACTCCACAGGAACTTAAAAGTGTATCATTAGCACTGGACAAGTCACTAACTTTTAAGGAGTTCGAAATATAAAGCATCCCTTAAAAAATAATTTGTTTGGATATATTGATATACCGTACAGTCTATGCTAAAAATGTCGCTGCAGATGGGCCCTTTGACTATAAAATATTTACTACTAGTACATATTCAGTACAATATCACTATGCCAAAATGTTTTTTATTCTCTCTTTATTCTATCAATAAATTTTCTGCCCTTTAGCTTTCACATTTGCTGAGTGGAGTTACCATTCCAGGTGTTATTTTCATCATCGTCGTCATCATTATTTCCGAGACGATGGATATTCCCATCTCTCCGCAATCTGGCATCTCCACGTCTTCCATAAGCTCTGTTAGGAAATCATAAAATACTGTACTTGTACTGTATATGAGAACAAGGTTACCCATTTCTCACAACAAAAAATACATTGGCATATACCTTCCAGATCTTACAAACAAAAAAATACATATACAGTCGACCCTCATTAATTCAGACCCTTTTAATCCGGATTTTGGATAAATCGGACGAAATCTGAACTGTCAGTATCAAATTTCTGGTTCTGGGATTGTCCCAGTTGCAATTGGGGTTGCAATTTCAAATTCTGTGCCACTTCTAAGGAATAACAAAGTCTCTGGTGCACTCTAAGATTAAGAGAAAATGGACGACTCAGGCGTCCTCAAGTGAGAGAAAACAGATTCCTATGACGGGGCACTCAAATAAACATACACATAGCTGTATATTGCAATATTAACCCCTAAATCGGTTAATTCGGACAATCGGCTAAAACGGACACCCTTCCTCCCCTATTAGTCCGTTTTAACGAGGGTCGACTGTACTTTTCAATTGACTTCTTTTTATGTAATGATAAACCTGTAGTGGAACGTTAAATCTGCCCTAAATAGATGATCAAAATAGGAAAGCTATAAAAATAGCAGTGAACTGAGGGTGTGATAACACACTATCTGTTTGAAGCTAAGCAATAGATCATTAAAGACAAATAAACGCAAAAGTTTGTTATTGACTAACGTTGACGGTCGGTTTTGAGAGTTGGATGGGCCTTCTTCCCTGAGTCGCTTAGCTTCTGGTTCATCAGGGGAGGGTGGAGGGGTCCGAGGTTCACTGCTGCCTCTTAAGAATTGCCTGACTAATCCAAACAGGAAGGTCATGGGAGACAGTAAGATCCACAATAAATCCCAGAATCCACCACTACTTGGCACCACTCGGCCACCACCACCAGAGCTAATCTGTTGGTGAAGAATGATTACAATTTCAATGAAGTACATACAGGTTATACTTTACAAAGTATTTAATGGATGCAGTGATAATATCTCACAATACAGGAAAATGTCTTTGAGGAATGGAACACTTTTAACATATGAAAATGAAACACAAAATTGAGGAATTGGGAATTTAAATGTTGAAAGAACGGTGTAAAAGAGCATACTGTGGTAAGTGAAGGAACTGAAACAAGGCTAATATGACTTTAAAATTGGCTCCATTAAAAGCTGAATTTGAGAAACATCAATCAATAAAGTCAGCAACAGCAGGCTAACCTTATACACTGTATAGCCAAAAAATGTGAAATACATATGTATAGCAAGTATAGTGAAGGAAATAGGTCTATAATATATCAATTATCTATAGACATTCAAACATCGGATAAATAGGTTTTGATTGTACAGGTACTGTATTTTAATTTACTGTTCTCATGAGGAAAGGTTGCCAGTGGCATGTTTAGTCCCCTCATTGTTAAAAGTACAAAGCATGAAAGGATGTACTCAGAGGAAGTGAATTGGTTTTACATTGGGAAAAAGTGGACTAGTGTAAGCACAATTGAGTAAAACGTGTAGGATTATAGTGGAAGTGATCATGGTTGTGTACTCTACCCATGACTGTACTGTATTGGGTAGTTTGTGGTAAGCATGTGTGAATAAAAAAATTATGTTGGTATTTCTGTCTCTAATCACCCATTTTCTTGTAACACTTTTCTTCCTCTCGTTTCCTAATTTTGCATTTTTATCTTCTCACACTTTCATTTTTCTATAATTAAGTTTTGTAACCAAGTTATTTAACTGATCCAAATAATGTTTTATTTTCTCCAAGTCTGAGTTTTTGTCTACTGTGGTATAGGCACACTGTCACCAAACATTTAAACCATAGTATTCTAGTGCTTACTTCCATACCCTATTCTCTGTCTATTATTCTATGTGTTATAAGAGTAGCAAAGTTTTCTTTCATATATCTAACAAACAAATTCTTCAACAGTAATTATGTTAATTATTTTAAAATTCACAATATGCCATGATGCAGTAATTGGATCCATAGATTGGTCTCTTTATACCAAATATATAAAAACGTGTCAATTTATGTGCACAGAACACACATTCTTAGGCAAAAACTAATATCCTGTAATAACATCTTCCAGAAATATGTGGATATCAAGACAAGATTCTCCAGGTTTTTTCTTTCCTTAAATGCAGCAAATGCCATACAAGGTACAGTGAACCCTCAAAGAACCTGTCCGAAAATGCCTATAGTTAGTATCTTCCAGCAAATGTACTAAATGTATAAAAATGATAATGATATAAAAAACACCAAAAATTGAATACCGTATTTTACGGCATATAAGAAGTATCCCCCATTTTAGAAGAGAATATTTAGGAATTTTTTTTTATGTTTACTGTATTTTCCTCCTGTAGTCATAGTTTTCTTAAAATAATACGCTGTACAGTATATACAATACCGGAAATATGTGGAATAAATAAAAATAATACCAATAAATGTTACCCCCAAAAATCCAGTACTGTACACTGTATTGCCAAATCAGTAAATAAAAGCCAAATGAAAGTTTAACACAGTCCCTGCTTCCTCACAGCAATGGAGAGCGGCTGGGACGCCGATTCCTTTACAACACTCCCCACCCCCTACTCTCTATGCTCTCCTCCTGCTGCCTCACTTAGCCAGCTAACTTGTGTGCAAAGAAATGAATATTCCCTTTACATGTTTGCCCTTAGGACAATTATTTATTTTACCTTTTTTCACAATAAGTATGTAGCCTGGTGGTTAAGGTGACGAGTTTAACCTGGCTACAATGCAATGATTAATCACTACAGTGATAGCTACGTTAGCTGAAACAATTGGTGCAGAGCACTTCCGGAATGAGAGATTTCTGGGTAACGAGACGACTTTCTCAAATCTGAAAAAAAAATCCCTCATCCCCGGAATTTTCCTTGTTACGGAAAAATTTTCTCGGAAGTTCCAGAAATTACCCATTACAACATCTCTCAAACCCGGAAAAATATAACCCATCCCCAGAATTTTTTCTCGGAATTTCCGGAAAATGTGCCCTATTTTCATCTCTCAAACCAGGAAAAAAACTCCCCCATCTCTAGAATTTCCGGGGTATTGGGAAAATTTTCTTTTAATTTTCCAGAAAATGTGTCCCTCAAAAAATCTTTCCCAAAGCCGGAACCCCTAAATTTTGTCCAAATCTTCCAAAGTCCGGATTTACCAGGTCCGAATCTTCGAGGGTTCACTGTACAGAGGAAACTATCAACTTATTTTTAAGAATTTGAACATTGAAGAAAGAAGCAAAGTATGACTTACTGGTAAGATGACCATAATAGCTGAAGGCACCAGACCCAAATCTCTGAGTGAAGTGCTATAGTCTTCTGGTGTGAATGGTCTAGGATTGACTGTGGATCCCAGGTTGAAGCTAGAGAATGGAAGGTTCACATTCTGTTGAATATGTTGGATCACCTCTGACAGGTTTGCTTCTGCTGGGAACTGAGCTATACTTGAAGAGCCATCAGGTAAACGAAACTTCAGTCGAGATATAGTGCTGTAAGAAATAAGGAAGTGACGTTCAAGTTTAGTCATTACTTCAACCGGTAACCTAAACACACTTCATTACTAAAGAAATGTTCAAACATAGGTGAACAAAGTCAAATAAACTTCTAACACTGTACAGTTAGCACTCTATTTATTTGAGCTCAATCTAAATTATTTTTATCCAACACATCCCATACTTCAACAAGAAAAATCTAAAATAAGAGACTTATGTTCTATGTAGAGTGAGTTATGGTTCTGTACTATAATCACTTCTCTGGAGATAATGTAAGGCTTATAATAACATTTTCAGTTATACCATCAATTAGTTTTCAAACATTCACCCAATATTTGTAACAGACTAACTTATGGGATCCTGCAGAAGTGGAAGCTGAGGCAACATTTACTACAGGAGCAGGTCCTTGATTTGAAGAAGGATGTTCACCACGCAAGAGAGCTGCACGGAAATCACGTTCTTCTCTGTCTGCGACAATCTGAGCTCTATAAACAAGAGGGAGCATTAGAGAGCTGCATTTCTGGTCAATCATGTTTGCTATTCATAAGATTATGCTGGACTCCATATGTAAATTATCTGACCTGTAGTAACATTTACTGTTGACCAAAAAAGTATTATTTTTTTTTCCTGAGTGAACTCCAGGTACTGTATTGTCTTTCTCTGAGCAAAAAAGTTACATCCTTCTGCTAATTAAAGATGAGGACAGTTGGAAGAGCCTGGAAACATACAGGCAACTGGAGAAGGAAAATAGAAAGAGGTTTAAGAAATACACAAATAACTAAAGACAAGAGATCATCAAGTATTACATAATTTGCACATGAACTGAATTGGACTGAATGAAGGCATCAGATACTAAAATGCTCTCTTTTCTATTATTTCTGTAACTATACTGTATTTATTTTATCAGTATGACAAACACCTTGGAAACTAATTCACAAATATTTTCAACCATGCTCTTGACAATCTATCTTACATACTAAATCTCAAAATGAGTCGTTTTTACTTTCAAATTCTTTTATTTTTTCATATACAGTACATGTATTACATGTAAACTATATTTATTACCAAACTCTGGCGACAAAAATTAGAACAAATTTCTTACTTGACTCTTTCCCGTGCTAATTTGTCCTCTTCCTTGTCCTTCCTTCTTTCTCTTGCTGCTGCTCTTAGTTCGTCATCATCTTGTTGTTGCTTCCTCTTGGAAACATCTTGTCCCATCTTCCGTCGCTCTACCTCTTTCAGTTTTTCTTCCTGATAAATGAACGTGATAATTGTAATATAAAAAAGAATGATAATTGTTATCTTATTAGTACATTAAAAAATTGCTAATCTGACCATGTGTGTTCTCTTGATTATCTTCATCATCTAACTACTCAAAATCAGTCAATAAATTTACACTGTGGTGGTGGGTAGTCAGCAGGTAAACAAATGTCAGATGGATATTATGCACATGATTTTCAATTGTATTTTATACTGTATTTCATATAATGTACGACCATATCGTGACATATATTCATGGGATTTTTATTGATTTCTAAGTGTTTCCTTACAAAATATAGTGTTCTGGTAGGCATGGCTGTAAGAATTACATGAAATTGACTGAGGACAAATGTAAGGACAAAAACTACCAAATCAACAAAAAATCTTGAATAATGGATATCATATTAGTGAGGGTTCAAAGTACTTTTTCAAGTTAACAATCATTCCTTTCCATCAATTCTATGAAGATACTTGTTTTTAACAGTATATTGTGCAGGCAGAAATTTATATTTTTGTGTGTAAACTTTCCTTTAATACTTACTTCAGCTTTCTCTTGTTTTATTTTTGCTTGCTTCTGTGCCAATAGGAACTTTGCTCGATCAACTTTCTCAGTTAAAGGCATGTCGTCCTCTAGTCCTGCAAGTAATAATACAAATATACCATCATTTGTGGTAAATAATGGAATAGAAGCAAACATGATATTATTTATGCTTCATGGTCCAATGAAATTGTTTTTCATTTTCAGCATAATGGTAGGGCTAAACAGGTCTGGGAATTTCTCAACCCTGGATCTTGGCAAAGCCAACAACCAACAAGTGCAAATTGTGGGTTTTGTACACCTCAACAAATCTGTGTCAATGTGAAGATTATTCAGAAAGAATTGCGACTAGTATTGATGGGGTCACATAAAGAACGTGGTTTGTGTCACCTGCATCTTTCTAGTTAACTAAGTAGCCAATACCAGGGTAACTCATACAACTCAGTAATGATTACTACTGTAAAGAGTGGGTGTAGATCTTGATACACAGGCATGATGCCATCTTCCAGAATACTGTACACCGAAATAACACAAGTAACAAGCAAATGATTACTTTGGCCTAAGGAGTTTTAATGATTTTACAGGACAAAAAAGATGATATATAGGTAATAAAATTGTTAAACAAAAGATTTTTATCTAAAGGTATGTGATTATAATGCTTACCTTCAGCACTTGTACCTGGTTGGGGTTCAGGATCATCCTCTGTTTTCTTGACTGAGTCAGCCTCAACTGTGGCTTCACTTTTATCATCTCCCTCTGTTTTCTTGACTGAGTCAACCTCAACTGTGGCTTCACTTTTATCGTCTCCCTCTGTTTTCTTGACTGAGTCAACCTCAACTGTGGCTTCACTTTTATCGTCTCCCTCTGTTTTCTTGACTGAGTGAACCTCAACTGTGGCTTCACTTTTATCTTCTCCAAGGAATTCTGACTCCTCTGTGGGACAGCTTGATGAATTCGGAAGGTTTTCATTGGATTTTTCAAGGTCAGCTTGCTGCTCCTGACGGAAGTCACTGCTAGTGCTAGCCTCATCATCAGCACCAGAATTTAGTGTAGTTTCCTGGAAAGACATTTTGAATAATCTAAACTAAGAGTGGTGTTTTACTAACTTTATTTACTCGTGTGCAGACATTGTAGTTTAATTAAATGTGGTTCACTTGGTTATTCACTTACTTGTTCTCATTCATATGTTACTGGGAACCCATTTTTTTTATTATATTAGTTAGGGGGGGAAAGGAAAGAGATATATATGTGTTGTCCCTATTTGTAACTAGAGAAATCGTGGGGAAGGGAATTCACTATACACCTGTGCAACTACAGAGAAAACATTCAATCAACCTTACCACACCCAGTATGGTTGTCGCCAGCCCACACAGATGCCACCCACAGTACAACACACCCAACGCTAAACTGCCTGTGTATCTAACATTATCTATTAGCTGTAGGGATAATATTCTGAGTGTCCAATCAGAGTCTGTTTTTCAAAGATTATCAAGTTCACAATATGGGCATAGTCACGTCAGTTCTATGGGCAGAGCTATCTACGTGGCACTTGGGATAGGCAGGGATCTGGTTTCCCTCAAGGGGATAACGAACGGTGACGAATTGGGGTAATTGTCGCTTGACAGGCACGATAAATACACAGGTCCCCACAGGTTAATTTTCAAGTTTCTCTTGTAACAGTTGGCTCTCGTGGGTGTCCCTTTTATTACACTATTTACCTTGAGCCTTTATAGTTTTTCTCATGTTACAACATAATGGCTCATAAAGAAATGCTTGCAGCCTCTTTGTTTGGTTACAATGCCCATTAACACATTTCTGTACTGTACACTATTCCCTCCAGTGATGTAATCGAGACTGACCCCGAGACCATTTGCAATTTTAGCCTTTATGGATCATCTATAGATTAGACCCTCCAGCTTAACCATCCTGAAACTATCTGGAGGGGTATTATTTGGGTGATCCATAAAGGTTAAAATTGTAGTAGGAAATGCATCCACACTCATCAGGTGTCACCAAACTTGCTAGGTCTTGTTTCTTTGAAAGGAAAAAGTGGTTCCCAGAGGCCTAACAGCCTATTTTGTATCAAGAGGAATGTATAAGCTGTACTGTATATACAGTAAACCCTTGTTATTTGTGAGGGTTAGGTTCCAAGGAATGGCGTGAATAGGCAAAACCGCAAATAGCAACTAAATAGTGCACTACTGTATATCTGTACCAAACAACCGACCAGCCGCAGCACCAATCATTCCCTCCTTTAACTTGTCTAATAATTCAACTTTCTTTGTAAGGGTCATCACTGACTTCTGCCTTTAACATTTCACTCCACTAGTATCACTAGCACTGACACTGGGCAGTCTTTTAGGGGCCATTTCACACAGAAACACTAAAGTTTTGAGAGTACAACACAAGATGCTGTGTGGGGTGACTCGTTGTGATGCGGGAAAAGGCTTGCAAGCTAGCCACCTTAGCCACCATCTGCTTACCGCTAATCGCAAACCCACGAATGGGAAGGGTCTACTGTATTGTATTCTTTTTCTCTTTCATGTTTAATGCAGGGTGGATGGACACAAGAATAAATGCTCGCACATATTCTCCCATTAGTCATTATAATCTCTGAAAAAATATTAATCCTTGGACTTCGGGCTATGGTCGGCACCACCCACCACCCCATGATTGTGGATATATTTGGGAACATTTAAAAAACAAATAAAAAGAAATTATAGTATTATAATGTAGCCATGCATGATATAAACAGGAAATAAATAAATGTCCTTACCACAAGTTGGCAACACCAGGGCTAGGAAGAGTCGAGAATGTTCGTGAAGTGACGTGTGTGTGTGACGCAATAGCATGAAGCCCAAGCAGTAAGAGGTACAGGATACTTGTTTTACTATATTATTACTATTTACACTATTAACAATCATTACTACAGATCCAGTAATTGATTACAATATTATACTTGTGCTTGGGGGTTGGGGGGTAGAAATGCATGAAGTGAGTCAAGTCCAAGGGTGATATTCCTACATCACAAAAGCTGAGAAGCTACTGAGAAGAGATTGGGAGGCTCTCATGTGTTAGAGAATGAAAGATAAGTACCTAATGGCAACATAATCTAACCAAGCGCACCCTTTTTATTCAAATAGGGCCGCGAAAGATCAAAACGTCATGTAACACGACCCGGAGTTCTACAGACACGTCGTAGGACATGACCCGAAGCCTAGGGTTAAATAACTCTGGTGACATTATACTCTTGACTTAATCCTAATTTCACAGGGTCTTCCTTTCTCCACACTTTTAACACTTGCATCACTCACCCTATAAAGTCTATGGCTAGCAGTCAATAATCAAATGTTCACAGCTAGTTGCAATGAAAACACCAACTGAAATTGTCTGTCTGGAGAGTATCCTTTCATAAACATGTTAAGGCCTTCTTGTATAGGCAAGTTCTCCGAAGAAATGATTTACCAGTACTGTACTGTATTGAACAGATGCAACTATCTTGTTTGTGACTCATACATCACAAAATCAAGGTATTACGATGCATGGCTTTCAGGTTTAAAACTTTCAAAAAACATATATGTTAATTTGGCTAAATCTTGACTCACCTGTTCAAGACCTGGAACCAATTTATTCAGCTTCTGTTGCAAATTTTCTACAGTAAGTGGTCCTCCTAGCACCTCAAGTGGTATTCCTGTTTGACCACTTATAAAAAACAGGGACGGCACCAATACCAGTGGATCTGATCAACAGTTAAGGGTTTGATAAGCAACAGTAGTTCCTTACAGATTTGTTCTATCATAGATCCTACAAAATCAATTACAGAATGGAATGATTAGTATGCATTTTCCTATAGATTTCTTAACAGGAATTGTCTTCAATTTCCTAATGACAAACCATATACTGTACAATAAAAAAAAGAATATTTGAATAGATATACAAGCCTGTACCCTGTATTTTGCTTTACATTACACAGACAAGAGATCCATGAAGACTTGCAGTAATTAGTTGAAATAAGAGACATAGCAGGAACATGATACTGTAGAGAAAAATTTTTTCCCTGCCATTTAATTAACCAGAAGGCACTTGTGTCCAGAATTTTAAAGAGATCTCATTTTTCAAAAGACTCTACTTATAAATATTTATATACAAATATGCTGTACTACATTTACTACTGTTTAAAACTGTTATCATTAGAAACACAGAAATACATTAATTAAGAAAACCACTGTATTTAAAAAAATCTTCCAGTTAAGTATCTAAGGGATGTGCTCTTGTAACTGGTATCTCTTCATAACCAGCATTGCCAAAGTCCAACAAATGTCAAGTGATAAACCATTACTGTATAAATGAAAAGACAGTTGATCAATCAACATGTAGCAAGTGCATTAATTAAAATCAAATCAGGTTTACTTTACGCTATTTCCAAATTCTGCTGAATTTCTGACCCCGTGGAATGAAAATTAACAAAATACGATACAAAAATATCATGAAAAGGTGTAAGAGTGAAACGATCAAGAGGCCGAGCCTAAATATTCTGTGTAACATATGCTAATACAGTACATACACCATAAATTACAAGAATGGGACCAAGAATTACCGTAAAATAGCGACTCACGTTATAACATTCTAGGTATTTCAATACAGTGAACCCTCAAAGATTCGGACCAAATAAATCCAGATTTTGGAAAATTCGGAAAAAATTTGGAGGTTCCGATGGCTAAGAAGCCTCCCTGAGAAGCATTCCCAAAAGAGAGTAAAGATCATCTTAGACCCGTGTAATTAAGATGGCAGCGCGCAGGACACAGGTGCCCGAGGTGGGAAACATAAACAAAAATGTCAATTGTTGTTTGTGGGAATATTTTCATTCACTCTCGTAATGATACAATGTTTCTTATTATGTTATTATAGGTTAATGCATGGTTTATATAATTTGTTTATCACTGTGCCTGCCACCATTTTCAAATTAGACTACAAGATATGTAATTCTCCCATACGTATTTCGATTGTACGCCTGGCAATGGGAGCGAGTAAGGGGTGTGAGTGAATACTCGTTAAAGTGTAATCTGCTGTTGTAACTCTCCTTGCTCCCTGCCATGTTTCACTGGATTTAGTGTTAACTGATATAATAGTGCATAATAGCGATTAATCATGGCATTGTAGCCAGGTTAGATTAGTCACTGTAACCACCACGCTACTGGGTCAAGCTGTGAGGTTTTATGGTTCTTTTTCAACTCGTATTTTCGGGTCGATATAGGTAACTTTCTTCATTTATTTTGACTCACCATCCTACATACATATTGTGAAAATAGTAAAAGAAATAATTGTTCTAAGGACAAACATATAAAGAGAATATACATTTCTTTACACATGTGTTAGATGGATCAGTGAGGGAGCAGGTGGAGAGGGCAGTAGGGGGTGGGGGAGTGTTGTAAGGGAATCGGCATCCCAGCTGGTCTCCATTGCTATGATGAAGCAGGGAGTCTATGCAAATGGCAACTGTGTTAAACTTTCATTTGATGGCTTTTATTTACTGATTTGGCAATACAGTCCAGTATTTTTTGTTGTAAGTTATTTATTGGTAAAGTATTAATTTTATTTATTCCTCACATTTCCTTGTATTGTACTGTATATACATTATTTTAAGAAAACTACATCTATAGGAGGAAAATACACACAAAAGTTTTTTCCTAAATACTCCCTGCTAAATTGGGGGTGCGTCTTATATGCTGTAAAATACGGTATAGGTACTGTACTTTTGGTGCTTTTATATCATTATTTATCGTTTTTATACATTTAGTACATTCGTCGGAAGATACGGACGATTGGCTTTTAGTACGGATCTTCGATATTTTACTGTAGAAATATCAAGCGTGGGATTGCAGCTTAAAATATACACCCAAAACTTCTTGAAGTTTTTAGACACTGTTTAACAAATTATAACTCACATTAAATCTGAATATCTACTTCTTGGAGTGTAACTGTTCAGACTAAGGCAGGTGACAACAAAAAATTTAAGTGTGTCATGACAGGTGCATGAACTATTTAGGAGGAGCTGGCCAGTGCTAGCAGATGACCAGCACCTTCTACAGGGAGTTATACCACCATTTTGTATATCTTGCACTCTGAGCTGTCCTACATATTGAGGGCACTGCTTGCTCATATTTTAATGAATAAGTTTAATTTTCTATGTTTTCCCCAGAGTTTTATTACCAGGTGCCATTTTGTAAACTTGAACTAAGTTGGCATGACTCTCCCTATTGAAGGAGTTGCAGATGACGTGGCAATCCTACCATTTAGGGAGGGCTGTGAAAACAACTGATTAGTTCAGCAAGTGTTTTAAGAAACATACTTGACGAAACATTCTAAAACAAATTTAAAACTTCTCTGTAAAATGAAACAAAAAAAATTGGTGTTCTTGCACCAGAGGTCACACCCTCTCTTCTGAAGAAGCCACAGTACAAAAAACTGTGAGAGCTAAATTCTTTCAAATAAGCATTGCAAAACCTTGGAATAACCTGTCAGTGAATGTTGACAGCACCAAGTATGAGCTACTTTAACCCTTTGGCTGTGAAAGCCAGCCGAGTGATCTGTTACAAAGGCTGCGATAAGCCAGCAGGCTGCTAAGATTTTGCTGCCAATTTCTAAAATTGCAAGCCAAGTGACAAAGTCAAAGGAGTCTGTCCATGCAATAAAGAAAAATGGGAGTAATTTTGGGTCCTGTAAAGTAACAAAAGTAAAGTACAGTATCAAATTGCGATATATTGAGGGTCTACTGAATCTGAAGGCAAATTTGAATCAGGTTTACCAGACTGAGTACTGGACTGTGCAGTACTGTATATCAGGTATTTGACTTGAATACAATAACTTACTCTACGAGTATATAGCGAAAGGCAATACCAAAGATTGAAGTTTATAAAGTTTCACTTACTTTCAGCAAAATCACAATACAAAACTGAGGACACATTCAAAACACCTGAAAAGTAAGTTACAAAGTTTGTCACAGAAACTCTTAAAGTAAGTAAAAAAAGGATACAAATCTGGGAGAACTGCTTAGCACCTTCAGTCCCATTTTCTAATTGTATTGCTACAAAGTTGTCTGAGCCTAGTGAAGAAGATATGTTCTTGTGAGTTAAGGCTCCATCTGTAGTCTTTGATTCCTCTGAAGAATCTAAAATCCAAAATTTGTAGTTAATAAATTACAAGGATGAACAAGCTGCTTGTAATATTAATCAATTACTGTATATATGATGTGGATGGAACCCAAAAAAGAAATTACAAAAAGATATTAAAAGTTTTCCTCCTTATTGGAGCCAAATAGAAAAATAGAGTAAAGCAGAGTAGAGTACAGTAGAGTAGAGTACAGGTATCCCTCTCTATGAATATTCAATTATATGAACATTCTATTCTTACACCTCTTTCTCACTACCGGTATATGAAAGCTATCCTCGCTTATACAAATATGGTCCATTTACCAAATTTATATTTTATTAATTTCTTAATGAGTTAGACTGTAAATTACAGTACAGCAGTTACATATCAAATTAAATATAGTTAGGTACAGTATTAAATTACAGTACCCTTTAGTTAGGTACAGTATTAAATTACAGTACCCTTTAGTTAGGTACAGTATTAAATTACAGTACCCTTTAGTTAGGTACAGTATTAAATTACAGTACCCTTTAGGTACAGTATTAAATTACAGTACCCTTTAGTTAGGTACAGTATTAAATTACAGTACCCTTTAGTTAGGTACAGTATTAAATTACAGTACCCTTTAGTTAGGTGCTGTAGTTTTTTAACCTACAGTATTTCGTTTTTAGGTGATAGTTTTAGGGATTTTATCATTCAGGAACTGAACCCTATTTTTTCATATGCTATGTTATTCGATAGATGAATATTCACTTTATGAGTAGTTTTCGAGAAACCTATCCCATTTGTATAGCGAGGGATAACTGTATGTCTTTTACAATTATATTTCTTTGTGTATCTACTGTACTAGTATCATTCCCATCTACTACTGTGCTTGTCTCTTCATCATATCACCATTTAGCCTGCCTGCATCTCAAGCTCAAGATGACAGCATCTGCTGGTGAGAGCAATAAAGTGTATACAGTAGTAGTGTACAGTACTGTACATTTTGTTTACAGTACAGGTATTTACAATTTATTGTATGTGTACAGTAGTGTTTACATAAATAAGTGCAGTTCTGAATCTGTTTGACTGCAGTCAGATGCAGAAACATTCACCAATGCCCGGAAAAATTCCAGGGATGAAATTGTTTTTTCTCAATATCAGGATTCTCTCAAACCCAGAACCACTTTGCACTAATTATTCCAGCTACTGTGAGATTAATACTTCACTTGGCAAATGGCCCAAAGACCATATAAAAATGATCATTACACACAAAAAGAGATAAAACAATAATTCATGAAATATTTCCATGAACCTATTGTCCTTTTCTTCATTAAAATAAGGAAATTATACAGAATACAGTACAGTATATACATTATTATAATAATTTGTACACTTACCATGCACGTATACCACAAAAATGGCATTCCGAGACTTAGCAGCACCAATTGCCTCAGGAATGCTTCCTTGAAACCACTGCATTCTTTCTTGTTATTTGTACGGTATACCAATCCCTGTGTCTGAAAATAAACCTGTTTCAATGACATATGCTTGGCTAGGAATCAATCTAGTTAATTAAGTTTACTCAGTTGTGCATCTGGCTCCTTGGGGTCTTTAGCAATACCCTTGTATAGTACTGAAAGCTGAACATGCTAGGATTAATATAATTTACTATGCAACTAAAAGTGGCTTGTGGAATGCTTACATTTACTGCAAATATTGAAAGCAATCACAACAACAACTGGCCTCTAGAATTATTATTGCAAATCAAGTCTCTAAGAATGTTCACAATCTATTTGCAATGCAACTCAAGTTTTCTTAAATTTCTGCATCATCTGGTAAGTGAGAAAATAACATACAGTACAGTACTTGGGCATCTTTAATCAAGAGAGGCCTTAACATGAGTTTTGATAAAACTGTACACTGCTGAAAACACCACTTAGTAGCTTAGGTTGTATTCAGTGAAGAAACCAATTCATTCCCATAATAGAACATGCAAGCAAATAACACAAACACTTACCAAAACTATGATAAGAAAAGAGTTTATGGTACAGTACAGTACATACCCGGTACAGCATAAGCAGCACTAATTCCATTAGAGAAAGTATATATTAAGTTAATTAACCTGTATAACAAAGTCATCACAGCAAGTTTAAGTAAGGAAGAGCATCCCGCAACCGCTCTGCACCAATTATTCCGGAAAATGGGGATATCACTGTAATTACCATCTATAAAAAAAATACTTTCTGTGAAAGAAACCAGCAAACTGCATTCATATGATTAAATAAAAATGGCAGAGCAGAGCACATATCTCCTGACAGTAAATGAGTGTTCAGGATTTTTTTTAATGATACAGTATTACGACAAACATTAAACTTTTCAAAAGGTAAGAAAGCATATATTTTTCTTTAATGAAGAAAGTCCTCAAGTTGCTGGTTCAGGCCTTAGCGTGAACTTAGAGTTGCAAGACACTCAACACGGCCTTGCCACGCCTGCCATGTTTAGACTGTGGGAATGGTTCTTGTTGCAGAAAGGAATTTAATTATAAAGTATTTTATATGAATAAATTAGAAAATAACTGTAGCTAGTATTTTAAGCTAGGTTAGGTTAAGTTTAGTTGGTCAGTTTTCTTCACTTTATGAATGGCAAATTCTAGAATACAGCTAGCTGTAGTGAAAAAAAGAAGGAAGTGTTATTTAATTTAAAAGAGTAAAATAGAAAATGACTAGAACTGTACCTGTATTTTATGTTAGGGTAAAATTTTAGTTTCATTTAGATATCCAAACTAACTAACCTAACCTAACCAATTCCCGGATGAGCAAAACTTAAATAATACTTAAGTTAGTATTACAGTTCACTTTCTTAATTATAAGAATGAAAAATTATAGTATGTATCTGTATGAAAATATCTATGAAAACAAAATGGTCAACCACAGAAGTTAATAGATGCAAAAAAATTAAAGTGAAATTATGTAAAATACATATACTGTACAGGTATATCTTCATTTTTTTTATTTCTAGCGGTAAGAAAGTTTTCATGTTCTACTGAAAAACTTCAAGCTGGTGCTCAAGGTGGACCACTCTTGTTAAGTATTACCAAGTTTTGTTTGTGCAGGCATGTCTGAACAAAACTTTGAGTTGGCAGCAGTACTAGCGGAGAACTAACACTGCACATCACCCATAATTTTACAAATAATGTATTTTGAAAAACAAAATGGCACTGGCTAAAGTTTTATCCCCAACCCCACTAATACAGTATATGCGTATGTCATGATGCAGTAAATTGGAACTCAACTTTGTCAACACTGTACTTACTCTTAAACAAACATTCATTTGGTTTAATTAATTGTATAATCATCGGCAATGATGAACATGTTTCTGCACTGTTATTAAAAGGATGTATGTCTTTGACTTTTAATGGTTAAACCAGTTAGGATAAGTCACATCTGATGCAATCTATCTGTCAGCCATTTGACTGCCCCGTCATATAACTTATTATAATTTTCATTCATTACTTGGTAGATTGCGTGTTATAAACTAAATGTATTATGTTTAATCACAACGGCCAGTAAAATTAAGTTGTGTAGGAAGCATTAAGGAGAAAAGCACTTTACCTTCTATACTTGACGTGTTTCTTGTCATCACTGAGGACGGTTGTCTCTCCTAACAAACGTCAACCTAAATTTCTCTTTTTTTACTTTTACGACTTAGAAGTGTTGAGTGATATAATTCACTTTTTATAATCTTTTTATTAATTAGAGCTTATAAAATATTAATAAGTGCATTCGACATTATATATTAATGAAGATATATTTCGCTTTAAAGGTCATGATACAAATGGAAGTGAATCAAACTCTTTTGGTCTTTACTGTACTTTACTTTATCCTCGCCGCTCGGTCAGTCAGTCACGTTTCTGTCATGCACTGTTGGTAAATACTATGTCTGTATCTGTGCGACTGTTGGACAAGTACTGGTCTTTAATAAACTCACACTTGGTGCCGTTATAGCGCTCTTGGACAATCCTTACAATCCCCCAAAAGAGGTTTGACAGTTTTCATATTCTGAACTAGTGGCTTCTTTAACCTTAAACTGTGACCATGCAGGGGGGGAGGTGGGGTGCTATAATATCTCCCACTTTATTTCCCACTTCCTAACTTTATCTTCCTCCTACACCGTCTTCCATCTTCAGAGCAAAAGGCTCTCTTCTCTCCCTCTCATCATCACCAAATGTCCCTTTTCTACAGTCCTTGTTCATTATATGTGCATAATATTATTTTTTTAAAAGAACTGTTTGTTCTTTAACGTTCCCACAAAGGAAGCTGCTTCTTTTGACAATTCCCCTGTACGGGAAGATTACGGTGTCATTGGTAAGAGCGACAGGTAAGACCGTCAAGTCTGCGTCAAGGTAAAGATCATACCTTGGTCACAAAGGAACCGTTTATACGGGCGACAGTTTGTCATCACAACTAAGTATGCATGCTTTTATAATTACTGGAGTTAAATTAGCAATTTTCAGAAATACTTTTCATATTGTAACATCTAATTATGGGTTCCTTTTTTGTTCAATAACCCGTATAATATTTGGGTAACTAAACAATTTGTATAGTACAATTTGACACATAATTATAAACGCTATTTAATATTCGTTAATATTATTTTTCATAAATTAATATCACACTGAAGTAAAAAAAGTAAGTTGCATCCTGCAACTTTAATAAAAAATAAAGAAGTCATCCCATGTTATTGTTTCATTTTCTTTTATCGAGACATAGAAAATGGACGTAAATAGATAGTATAATGAATGAGTTTAAATGTGAGAGTTAAGCGACTATGAATGAATTTAAAGGTGTTAACGTAGTATTAAAGCTACTGAGTATCACTTTAATTAAATGACTAACAATAACAATAACAAAAACAAAAACAATAATAATATCGGTCATTTGCAACGGAAATATTATAGAGAAAAAGTGTCTTAGAATTGTCTGAACTTTTGATTCAGTTGGTGACGATAAAAATAATGATAATAATAATAATGGAGAGGAATAATTTTAATTTATTTAATTCAGGACAGATTATATTAAAGATATTTACCTTAGCTATATAAGTTTTAATAACAAAAAGTTCACACAATGGAATTTAATTAATTTTTGAAAAAATTATTTTACTGTACAGGTTATTAAAAAAAGAATAAATGGATTTCAGGATTATTAAGAACCCAGTATATTGATTTGGTTAGGTTAGAGTAGGATATGTCAGGTTAGGTAGGTTAGATTAGGTTTGGTTAGGTGAGGTTAGGTTAGATTAGAATAGGTTTAGTTAGATTTGGATAAGATAAGTTTGGTCACAATAAGTTAGGTTAGGTCTCACTCCTATTTCACAAGTGATGATGTTTCTAGTCCATTATATTAATTTTTAGACAAAGAAAAACGCTTATAATGCACATGTACATTTTACTAGCTAGACAACATACATAAATTGTGTAAAGGCCCTAATTATATTTGTAAAATGCAGTACTAAATGGAGGTGAAAAGTTAGCCTAGTTGTAATGCCTAATTTTACACATATTCTGGTTCATTTTTCCGCGATCTTTGTTCACATGTGTATCATAGTAGAGATATGTTTGTTCAGCTGAATGATTCCACAATTCCGCCTTATAATTCTTCCTTAGAATCAGAATCAGATGAGACAGATGATGGCATTGATAGCGGAAGCATGGTAGATGAACCTGGTTTAATTTGTGGGTTGTCTATTTGATATTTTTGGGGAATAATTAATCGGGTGATTTATCGGAACGCTCATTGTTGGTTGGAGGTTTTAAGATTGTTTATGCTGTATTGGATTGAGACCATCTTCTGGGTTGACTTTAACCATTGTAGTGAAGTAACTATTATGTTGAATTCCAGGTTCTGTGTTTGTTGTTTTGTGAAAAATCTTTAAGGTAAGCTTGTGAATAGGATGAGGTTGGGTATGTGATCATGGCATCGATTTAGCTGAGATGGATAATTGCAGAGTAATAGAAGTTTGGAGGTCTCGTGATGAACGTTGTGTAGACATTTTTTTCTTATAGTCAGCTTAAGCCTGTCTCGGTACAGTGAGAGGAGATAGACTTCTTGGGTCTACCAGATCCACTCGTCTACTGGATGAGGTCCGTTCATCTAACCCTAACCTGAGAATTGTATTGTGAACATTATTGGCTATTTATGGAACAACGTCTTGAATTGTCAGGTGCAACAGTTCTTTGTGTCAAAATGGCGATTTAATTGTGTAATTAGGTATCAATCTGATGAAATTGACTGGTGTAACCAGTTCCCAGTTTAAAAGAATTAAAATTTCATTGCGTATGAAATTTAATTGAGAATAAAATTTAATTTTGTATGCATTATCAGAGAGTAACAACATATCATTGTTTACGTATGTAATATCTGATGCAGTATAGTGTCAAACTTATGAATTGATAAAACAATCTGATGAAGTGTATGTTGTTAACATGTCTAATGTATTATCGGGATAAGGTGATAAGGTAACATACAGTAGTCTTCAGCTCTTTCATGTAAACAAACTACTAATTCGAAAAAAGGTAATACAGCAAAGACCTGAACATTCTCTCGAACCTATACTAATACAGTGAGTAGTGGAGGAAGTTTTAGTTTTTGGGCCGGCCATCCTCGTTACACGAGGGGCAACCATTATGTATGTATGTATGCATGTATGTATGTATGTATGTATGTGTAAGCACTTATATTTTTCATGTTTAAGGAGATGCAATTAAAAAAATATCTCCAACAATGAATACTCTTATGGAACAATTTAACTCATAAGCCAGAACTCCGGAGCTATTGTGTGGGGTGACGCGGAAGTCATTAATGTCTAGCACAGTGTGGTGATGGTCGGTGGTCTTCTGTATAATTGGATCCTTGAAGATACATTTTTTTTTCATTTACCATATTTAATTTCACAGAATATTGCTGAAAGTAACTCACCAAGAGAATAATGCTCGGAGAGGTACGATAACTTAGAATGTGAAATATGCTGGATTACTCACGAAGGTACAACTTATTAATTGCGCGAAAAACAACAAAAGTTAGGGAGTGAGCACTTCCGAGTCGCTTATCTGTGGTTTGGTCACATGATGATCTTCCACATCCTGTAGGCAAGGGTGACACGCTCGTCTGTGGGAAGGTGTGGAAATCGTTACTGTCCCCTTGTTAGTGAAAATGGCGAGAAGTATACTCGAGATATTGTAAAGCCAAAGAGTAAGATCGGTGAAGTCTACGCATTCCTCTTCAATATTGGTACAGTATATACTTGAATTTACAGTTGGGGGAAGTGCAAAGAAGTACAGGAAAGAGTCGGCCACGCTGCTCCTTTTGTACAATACAGTACTTAAAGTTAAATCAACGTTACCTCTCACCGGCTGTAGGGTGATGGGAAGAATTACGAGTAGTTTGCCTTTGGCAGCCAATACGAACATGAATGATAAAAAGAAAAAGTGGTTCTACCTACAAGTGGTCAGTTTGCCTGGAGTCGTACCTTTCTATTCGTTGGCCATATTAAAACTTTTGTGACTGGTAAGTATAGTAAGTGCTCTAGTGACCCAGCCATTAGTGTTGGTATATTGCATCTTTCCAGTCGTTAGACGACGTAAGAACCTTTATGACTAATGTACTCAAACTACTAACAAAATAAGCTTTAACAATGGCTTCAAAATTAGAGATGAAGAAGAGGTGAGGCGTGTGGGGGTGTGACAAAACTCGTGGGGGGCAGAATCTAGATGGGAGGGGGAGGGGCATGTGTTTATAAGACTGTGGCAGAGGCGCAGTCAACTCACTCTCGTAACAACAACATGTTGGTCACTCGTGCAACCCCGGCAGCCATTCTCCGCTTGCTGCTTCTGAGTGTCTTACTCTGCCACGCCCCCGCTGCCCCCGCCACCCACCACTTACCAGCTGCCCTCCATCAGTTGCTCTCCAGTTGGCCACCACAGCGCACTCCCTACCATCTCCCTTCTCAACGTGAGTCTCTTATCAGAAAGTTTTAATTACCGGTACTCTCAGATAAGATTAACTTCACGGACGAGATTGGAAGAGACCTTCTTGAGTGATGATATCATTGTATATATATATATATATATATATATATATATATATATATATATATATATATATATATATATATATATATATATATATATATATATATATATATATATATATATATATATATATATATATATATATATATATATATATATATATATATATATATATATATATATATATATATATACTGTAATCTTATTCTTTACGACACTGACCTGAACGCTTTATTTTAAACAAATTCTAATGAGATGGTCATCACAAAAGTACAATATTTTTTTAAGCTGGTTCAGCAGCTCCATACTCTACTCACTCAATAACATTGTTAGACTAAAATTAACTAAATTCAAGTTAAATTCAACTAAGCTGGTTATGTCAGCAGCTTTATACTATACATGACTGTCACTGACGGACAATGTTACTCATCCACCGAGAGAATGTAAGTTAAGACTCTACATTGTTGCAGTACTGCATGAGTTTACTTGTACTTGTGTATCTACGAGTCTTTCCTTATTGATAAATACATCAAATTCCCCCTATTTTCCTCATTTCATCGTTGGAGGTTTACAGAAAAGTTTATAGATGCTCTGTTCTATTTTCAGAGTCTCTGACTAATGAGGAGGCGGATGATGGATTGGTGGTGGACCCAGTGATGGTGACGTTGCTCCAGCTACTGTCCCGCCCCGCCTTGGTCTCCCACACCCAAAGACTGCCTCCCCAGAGTTCTCCCGTCCTCCTCCCCGCTGACGTCGCCAGATTCTACAACAAAGTAAATGACCATAAAGTTAGATGATTTTTCTTACTTTGTTTGCATGTGGTGCGGTTATATGCCTGTCATGTGTAAGTTTGCCTTAAGTTACCACTAAAGTAAGAAATGAAGGACCACTGCATTACAGTAAATACCAGCGTTACTGACGATGGACTAATAATGTTACAGTAAACACGAACGTTACCGATGCCAAGCTATATTACGTATATTGTGACTTATAATTGAGAGATAACAGCCACAACAGTGACCCAAACTAACCTCTTAAAATGTCTTTCTACGGTTATTATCTTTTAGTTTATGATCTTTTTGAAGTTTCAAACATCCTTGGTACAGTGATAGCACACTCACTTGCGCTCTGGGCTATTTTACTTTACCCTCTTCGCTCTCTGGCAGGTTGTTCCAAGAGTTCACAGCCCTCACTCTGAAAAAGTTTGGCCTCACATTTTTATTGACCTTGTGGGGCGGGCTTCCTCCAGCTCCAGATATGAACTCTCGACTGAATAGTGTCCTCTGAGATGTTTATAGACCTCTATTAAGTCACCCCTTGCCCTACTATAGTATAAGCTAGGCAACTGCAAATACTGCCTCTGTAGTCCTCCTGTCATAAGTTTTATATAAATGCAAATCTAATTTTAATCTATTTTTACAATATAATTCACAAAACAAGTCGAATTATCTTAACATTTTAGTTTATAATAACAACTTTTAATCCATCATGTCTTTATCTTTTCACACACCACCAACACTTTAACATAATTTTTTTTTTGGGGCACTCCCCTACATCATTGTGTAAGGTGAAGCGCAGAAGCCTTTACAGCGCCCAACAGGGAAGCATGCTAAGTTCACGCTTGCCTTTATGTCTCATGAGATAAGGGCTTAGAAGCCTGAAGAGTCAGTGGTTTATGTCCTCAAGTTATTGGAAGCTCCAACAACTTGTCCCTGAATACGAATTCGCAACTTTCGACTTACACCAGGTACCTACTTTACTGCTAGGTGAACAGGGACTAATGGGGGTTAGGAAGTAAGTCCAAACAACTTCCACCGGCCCGGGAATCGAACCCGGGACATCTCGCTTGCGAGGGAAGAACGGTACCACTTCTACCACCGATCCCCCAATGATCATAATGTGAAGTTTGTATATAAATATCAACGATCTGCTTATAAACATTTTTAGTTGAGAGAGAGAGAGAGAGAGAGAGAGAGAGAGAGAGAGAGAGAGAGAGAGGAGCATGTTAGTTAACGAGACAGTGTTAGTCCTGGAGAACTACTAATGTTATTTATTATTACAGAGAAGCAGGAGCAATGTCGTCCTTGGCTGCAATGTAAGTAATGGAAAACAACCTTACCCTCACTACCCTCACCACTCACTCCTGCACCACCACCCACCTACTGTATTGTACCACCATCCACCTAATGCACCACCACCCATCTCCTGCCCTCACCACCCACCTCCTGTGATTTTAATATAATGTTCAAGATTCTCACATTAACTTTGGATTCATAAATAATTGGTTATTTGAATGAATTAATAGTATTAGCTGGTATGAGATGATATAATGTTAAATATGATATATATTATTGATAGAGTTCCACCTGTTTGTGATATTAACATTTAGTAGTTGTTCCGGTACTGAAATTAAAATAAATATATTGTCATTTTCTCCTGCGGCTGCATGTAGACGGTAAGTCCAATTTTGCTTCGGTGTGTAAATTTTAGGAGTTGGCAAAATGTATAATTGATAATGTATGTGTGGTTGTATAGTTTATTTCAATAAGATTAAATGACAAATATTATAGTATGGGATCACGTGAACGTTAGGTATATTAGTTTCTTTCGTCTGGTGAGTAAATATCCTAATGCTAAACTAACCTAATCTAATCAAAAGTAATGTAAGCTAACCTAACTCTCATAAGGTACCGTTACCGTTAGGCTATTTGATTATCAGGTGAAATAAACTGGGGTGCCTATTGTTCATGTGGTCCATGATTTGTTTACTTCTGCTGATTAATATATAAAAAATACATAAACGTTTTTAAAGTCGCTGTGTTCATTTCATAAAATTCGACGTCGTTGGTCGCTAACATCAATGTTTTCTGTTCTTTCCTTGCTGACAGATGGGAGAGGTAAATATACTACTACATACAGTATTCCCCTGACAATTAGCTGTAGTTTATTAGTGTCAATGTTCAGTTTCATATCTTAGCGAAAAATTAGGTAGGTGACAGGGCTGCAATTTCAGTTGTGGACAAAAGAATTCGGCAGGCAGGTTGGGAGGGAGGTCGTTTATGGGAGGGTAAGGGTGGATGGAGACTTGACAACTTTACATAAAAATGGTGATTAAAACTGCGAATTTCTTTCCACATGACATTTTGCATTTTTTCTAGTATAATTATGAGGCAGACTCAGCTTACACCCCTTCCCCGCCGAGTTATTTATGTTCACAACTGTACCTGATTATTTATATGATTTAGGTACAACATACACGTTATAATATATTTTTAACTAACCTAATGTTTTGTTTCTTCGCACTCAATCTTCGTTCGCAACTAATCTTCGCACTCAACCACCGCACTCAACCTTCGTACTCAACCGATCTTCGCATTCAATGAAGTTAAACCCTAAGGTGAGTACTTTCTTTACGTCTCTGAGCAGTTAGATCATTTATACTTCTTTTACTTCTTATGCAAACGTCTCTTGTGTTTTGTCAACCTAACATAACCTAACCTAAAGAATAATATTTTCTGAGTAGTATTTGTTATATTTTACTACTTAAATACCCCGAGTGACTTTTAGCAGTTGATGTTGAAACGTTGTAATACAGTTTCAGATCAACATTTATCTTTGTTCTCTTGATGTTTTACTATTTGGTATTAATAGTATTATTTTCTCTTAAACAGAACTGCGGTCCCTTATTAATGCAACGCTAAGAACATAACGACTACATAGAGCCACACCATCGAAAAGAAGGTTCAAATTATATCCTACCGCCACCTTGGTTGGGTTCATTGTTAACATCGCCCATGTGTCAGGTTAACGGTGTTCAGTGTTTGTACTACGAACCATATATAATGTGTTGAAAATAAAATAATAAATATATATCACTTAACTATTGAGGAAGTTGTGGTGTTTTATTTCACATATGAGTGCTACAGCCAACAGACTATACTGTAGACCGAGATACAAGTGGGAAAGCCTCAGTTAAACCTCTATTTAACCGAATAAATGGAGAGGAAATTGCGTTTTATCGAGAGTCTGATAAACATGAAGCCCCCAACTAAAGGATTATAAGGCAAAAGAAATCCGTTATATGGAGGTATTACTGTGGTTTACCGGATCAACGACTGTGACCTTTAAATGAATCAGATCTAGAGCTCGAGGTGTGTAGGTGCAACTTTCCATAGGATTTACATGATAGAGACAACATCACTTCTTAGGCCTCTTTCACACTCTTCGGTTCTTCGCCGCACTGGAGAGACTACAGTTTTCTGCCGCACATTCGTCCGGCTGCAGCGTACAGCGACCCAACTTTGGAATCTTGTCTACAGTTTGCAGCGTACGGGCGTGGTCCCTGACAAGTCCAGTGGGATGCCGCACATGCAATCCGGCGTTGTACCGGTGAATTCGCACAACCGCATAGTGTGAAGAGGTACAGTCGGAAACCATAATCTCTAACCCACCTGGGTCGGTGCTGGAGGTTAGTACAGCGTCCTTTCTGGACGGAGGCCCACTCTAACTATAACGAGGCAACACACAAACGAACACACAGTTCTCGTGATAGTTAGAGTAGGCCTCCGTCCAGAAAGGATGATGTACTAACCTCCAGCACCGACCCAGGTGGGCTAGAGATTATGGTTTCCGATTGTACATAAGAACTATCAGATGCGGCGAGAAGCAGCATAGTGTGAAAGGGGCCTTACGTGGTCTTCTCAAGGTATGTATCACGGCCATAATCCTGTTGTATCCTCACTGTATCACGTGGGTTAAGATATACTGTTTTTATATCATCTAAGTTTATTTCTATAAATAGATTCAGTTTGAATAACTAAGACTGACAATTTAATTTAGTTACTACACTAACAATATTGTGTGATAATTATTTGATCAATAAATTATAATCCTCGGAGTTTATTTCCCGGGAGTTTGGTAGAGGCCAGATGGAGGCTGGACATCACGGCCATTATGGCCGCCATTCCTGCCACGACCTCCTGTTCCTCCGTTGCCGTTGTTTCACTACAGCTTGTCTGTTGCTGCTGGCTTCCAAGTTACCGTTGTTGACACTAGGGGGTCCATAAAGGGAGGAAGGAGCATCACCGTTAACAGGAACACCGTTGAGGAGGTTGAAAGAGCTCTGTTGGTCTGTAGCTGATCCAAATCTTTCTCCTCCAAAGGAACTTTCTTGGCCGTTGTTGAAGATATTATTTTGTCTGATTCCGGAGCCAACTCCATTACCGTTAACTCTTTCTCGTAGTTGATAATTTGATGAAGGAGCTCCACCATTGACGTTCCCGTTACTGAAGCCGCCATTCTTTCTACCATTTCCATTTTTTCTTTTGCCGTTCCTCAGAACAGCTTTTCTGTTGCTGCTGGCTCCAAAGTTACCGTTGTTGACACTTGGAGTTCCGTAAAGAGAGGAAGGAGCACCACCGTTAAGAGAAGCATCAGTGAATGGGGAAAAGGAGCTCTGTCGATCTGTTGCTGAACCAAGTCGGTCTCCTCTACGTGTGTTCCCTCTTCCGTTGCTGAAGTCATTATTTCCATTGCCTCTGGAGCCGATTGTGTTACCATTACTGCTCTCTGGAACTTGATAAACAGAGGAAGGAGATCCACCATTGACGTTTCCGTTACTGAAGGAGGAGAAGGATCCTTGAGAGGACGAGGCAGAGCCAAAACTGTCGCTGTTGGCGCCAACTTGACCAATCAGAGCGTTGAGTTCGTAGAATTGTTCAGCGGTGGAACAGTCGAAGTTGTACCACCAGTCACACACGAAGTACTGCTGGTTGAAGATGGTGCCGTTGGGACACAGGAAGGAGTCGATCCTGCCTCCATCCTGGCAGATGTGGAACACCTGTGGATACAATTAATTATATGTAATTTGTTTACCTATTTTTTCAATATAAAGACATTAATTATATCGAATGTGTTCCACTTTAAACTGGATACCTTTGACTTACCAGGTAATTCATTTATCAGAGGTAAATTTATAACTCAGTTGAATAAATCGCCTGCCGTTAGCCCGATTAAAATACCAAAGTCCTCAAAAACAGGATATTATTAAACCCTTTCCCAGCGCGATTACCATATAAGACTCACCTGGCAGCCAGCCTCTGCGTCAGTGTCAGCATAATATCCAGGCAGCTGACCCTCGCAGGAGAACCTGGTAGGGGGACGGAGGAGAGGATGGGGTAGTCCTCGCCTGGCACTCCTCCTCCACCGATGGCTGACTCCAGTGCAGTGATGGGGTCACTATCGTAAAAGGATAAGTCTTCAAAGTTTGTTGCAAATCCAGCACCTCCAAAACCGTTAGTTCCGGGTACAACACTTCCTCCGATGCTGCTGCCGCTAACTGCTAGTCCACCTCCTCTCCCATTGTTGCCTCCAAAAGTTCCTCTCGTAGTACCACGGCCGGGAGAACCTCCTCCTCCACCTCCGTTACCATTATATCCGTCGTTTGCAAGAGGAGCTCCCCCGAAAGCTCCATTGAAGTTAGTTAATGATAACTGGGAGGCGGCTGGGGCCTGGAGATCATCGAGGTAGGCGGCGCTGGTCACACCTATGAGGACTGGGAAGACTGTGGATGTGAACAGCGGGGAAAGATCACCTGATACTGTGACGTAAGTTATTAATCCAGTCGTTCTCACCTGCAAGTTACCAACATTACCAACAGAATAACACCGTAATGATGATTCTGGGAAGACTGAATGAAACTGAATAAAGAAATAACATAAGTGTTTTGTAGTATTGTAACTGCTACAAAATCAACGAATACCTCAGCAAATATGTATTATGTATGTTAATGATGCGCTGCGTTATGGTTGGTGGACTCTTACCCAGTACCAGAATGTTGTGAGCCGCACGAGCCATATCTGGGAGGCGTTGTACACTTGTGTTCTTCAGCGTCGCAGCGCAGGTAAGTTGATCAAGTGTGTACCTCCTTAGTAGAGGCAGAGGGCGATGTGATGATCGGTGATGGATTGCCGCCTTTTATACAGGAGAAGTTGTGAAGGTCAGCGGCAGGTCATGACGACGGCCTCAAGATGCAAGAGATAAACCTTCGCTACTACTCGCTGGTCCACAGGCTGACGCTTTCGTGTGCGGGAGTCGTGATCTTAACATTGTTATTTATTATTGTAGATTACTAAGACGGCTCTCGCTCTTAATGCAGTGAGCTCGAAGTGGTAATTTGACTGTGTTTACATTTGATCTTGTCTAAATATAATTTTAATTTCAATATTTTAGATTAAAGGATTCTGAACGCCAAATGATTGTTTGGGGCAGGTTTCTGACACTTCATAAACTCAATTTAACACACAACATTACGACTCCTTATATATGGTGACTGATTCTTTTATTTCTTATTATACTAAAGAAATGAAATAGTAACCGATATTTAGTGATAAAAACCTAATTTTAGACAACCAGATTAAATAATTGCTTTTCTAGTTTTTATTTCATATTTCATGCAGCTATAAAGTGTAATATCCTTGAGACTGTTATTATCATCCCTTCAGCTTCACTATTGCTCTCTACTGTTTATGGAATGTTAAATATCACCTGAAAATAATCTGCCGCAATGAAGTAAAATGAATAAATGACTAGGATAACATATCAATAAGTTTATTCACGAGTTCAAGAAATATTTAATCTCTTTCATAAACACAAACTTATTCCATCTTTATCTGATATATACCGAGGGGAGATTCTATAATACTACCACTCATTTCTTTCACAATAAGAGTCAAGAGAGAACCACTTCCTTCACGTGGTCATTAATGTGTGTTTACCCATATTACCCATTCAACTTAATAAAACCAGTTTATAAAGTTCGTGTGCAGTATTAATAAGATTTTTCTATACATATATGATAGAGATAATCTATAACTGATATATCGAGAGAAAATTTATTATAGTTTAGTACAATTACTGCATACATTTCTATCTTTATGAATAAACCAGATGTTCATAAAAATCTATATAATTTATAAGTTTATAGGGACTTTATAGACACCTTGTATATGTGGCTTCTCTTGTGTAGCTAGAAGATCTTGTGTGTGTGTGTGTGTGTGTGTGTGTGTGTGTGTGTGTGTGTGTGTGTGTGTGTGTGTGTCAGATCCTATGGTGGTTTAGTCTTAACTAGCGATTATTCTCAGTCTTAGTTCATTCCAGGATATCTAAAAAACACAAATAAAATAAGTAATGTATTCGCAAAGTAAATTATAAACACACGATATAAATACTGCTCACATTAAACGTATAAATTAAACACAAATAAACCTTGAATCTACCCACACATACAGACACACTTATAAACATACACATAATAATATTGGAAGTGGTCTAGCAATGTTCTTATCCAATTTACAAAAATACACTCCAAGGGACACTCAACAGAGAGAGAGAGAGAGAGAGAGAGAGAGAGAGAGAGAGAGAGTGTGTAGCCAGGTCGAAACTGGTGGTCTTAACAACTTCCACTAAACACAACAAATGTGATCTGCTAGCTTGACATATCACTGGGGCTTAGCATGACGCAGGCTTTGGGCATAAGTGACGTGGTCTTGGGCATAAGTGACGTGGTCTTGGGCATAAGTGACGTGGTCTTGGGCAATAGTGACGTGGTCTTGGGCATAAGTGACGTGGTCTTGGGCAATAGTGACGTGGTCTTGGGCATAAGTGACGTGGTCTTGGGCATAAGTGACGTGGTCTTGGGCATAAGTGACGTGGTCTTGGGCACAAGTGACGTGGTCTTGGGCATAAGTGACGTGGTCTTGGGCATAAGTGACCTGATCTTGGGCATAAGTGACGTGACCATTTCGAATACACTTCAATATAAATACTACTGGTCTTTCTATATTACAAGTATTTCAGCAAAAATATCATATGAAAAGCTTATATATGGAATATCCTTAAACAACTGACCATTCTCGATCCGAAGCTCCACACATCAAACGTAACTGATTAACTGTTTACTAATACGCGGAACAATACATTAATTAAAGAAATACCGATACTAATAACAGTGTAGGAGTAAGCTATGGTTCGGTGTCTGACGAATACTTTAATACCGGACCTTTCTTGGGCTACATTCAGTGTTGCGGTCGAATTCACCATATCGAAGTCCAAAATCGAGTCCGAGGATTCCAAGTCCAATTCTAGGTGGTTAAAGTCAAGTCCAGGTCCAATTCTTTAATTATAGGCTATAGCACCAGACACCTGTAGAGGATATATTGGTACAACACCATTGCAGAAGTACAACATTGGTGAAAAACTCTAAAAACATCACAGCTGGTCAATGTTTCAGGTAATTCTGTAACATCTTTATCATCATCAATAATGTGATCTGATTATGATATGTGCTTCAGGCCTCCGGTGGTTTGTACATGAAATAGAATCCACTTAGTGACACTATATACAGTATATCAAGGAGCTCAAATATCGGAATAATGATCTGTAAACAAAGGTACTGAGATATAAACAAAACAGTAGGAAGTGATTTTGTTTACAGCTACTGTGAGTTTATTAATTTTTTCATATTTTGGGTCTTGGTGTATGGATTCATCTTAACTTGGAAACGAGTCTAAACATGAGTTAAAGTCGTGACTCTATGTCTATGGCACTGACTGGACCCAAAGACTTCTGTAGGACGAGTGGAAATACCAACTAATCTCACAGACGACGCGCTGCTCCTGACATTAACGGAGCCACTAATGTTTGGGTCACAGTGTGGGTGTTGAGGAGAAATAGTGACGTCAATATGGCCACGGCAAAACTTCTACCCACAGGAGATTTTAAACTGTTAAAAGTGATCGTGTTGGGTAGAGGAGAGAAAGTTGTTTTAATTTGTAGATGATATATTTCAATAAATACAAGTTTGTGTACATTAAAGGTTTACATAAGAATAGCATAAGAATAGAAAAACGTTAGATTATAAAATAGTCAAGTAATATAAATGTTACTAGTACTATTATCACAAGTTGGCGTTTGAAAAGTTATCTTAGTTTCCTTAATGTTAACAAGTGAAATGTGGACCTGTATATACCCTCATACTGTCACACCTATTAAGAATTACTCTGCATTATTTTATCTAATTGTTTAAACTAATTTATAAACTAACAATATTGTGTGATAATTATTTGATCAATAAATTATAATCCTCGGAGTTTATTTCCCGGGAGTTTGGTAGAGGCCAGATGGAGGCTGGACATCACGGCTATTATGGCCGCCATTCCTGCCACGGCCTCCTGTTCCTCCGTTGCCGTTGTTCACTACAGCTTGTGTGTTGCTGCTGGCTCCGAAGTTATCGTTGTTGACACTAGGGGGTCCATAAAGGGAGGAAGGAGCATCACCGTTAACAGTAACACCGTTGAGGAGGTTGAAAGAGCTCTGTTGGTCTGTAGCTGATCCAAATCTTTCTCCTCCAAAGGAACTTTCTTGGCCGTTGTTCAAGATATTATTTTGTCTGATTCCGGAGCCAACTCTATTACCGTTAACTCTTTCTCGTAGTTGATAATTTGATGAAGGAGCTCCACCATTGACGTTCCCGTTACTGAAGCCACCATTCTTTCTACCATTTCCATTTTTTCTTTTGCCGTTCCTCAGAACAGCTTTTCTGTTGCTGCTGGCTCCAAAGTTACCGTTGTTGACACTTGGAGTTCCGTAAAGAGAGGAAGGAGCACCACCGTTAAGAGAAGCATCAGTGAATGGGGAAAAGGAGCTCTGTCGATCTGTTGCTGAACCAAGTCGGTCTCCTCTACGTGCGTTCCCTCTTCCGTTGCTGAAGTCATTATTTCCATTGCCTCTGGAGCCGATTGTGTTACCATTACTGCTCTCTGGAACTTGATAAACAGAGGAAGGAGATCCACCATTGACGTTCCCGTTACTGAAGGAGGAGAAGGATCCTTGAGAGGACGAGGCAGAGCCAAAACTGTCGCTGTTGGCGCCAACTTGACCAATCAGAGCGTTGAGTTCGTAGAATTGTTCAGCGGTGGAACAGTCGAAGTTGTACCACCAGTCACACACGAAGTACTGCTGGTTGAAGATGGTGCCGTTGGGACACAGGAAGGAGTCGATCCTGCCTCCATCCTGGCAGATGTGGAACACCTGTGGATACAATTAATTATATGTAATTTGTTTACCTATTTTTTCAATATAAAGACATTAATTATATCGAATGTGTTCCACTTTAAACTGGATACCTTTGACTTACCAGGTAATTCATTTATCACAGGTAAATTTATAACTCAGTTGAATAAATCGCCTGCCGTTAGCCCGATTAAAATACCAAAGTCCTCAAAAACAGGATATTATTAAACCCTTTCCCAGCGCGATTACCATATAAGACTCACCTGGCAGCCAGCCTCTGCGTCAGTGTCAGCATAATATCCAGGCAGCTGACCCTCGCAGGAGAACCTGGTGGTTGGGACGGAGGAGAGGATGGGGTAGTCCTCGCCTGGCACTCCTCCTCCACCGATGGCTGACTCCAGTGCAGTGATGGGGTCACTATCGTAAAAGGATAAGTCTTCAAAGTTTGTTGCAAATCCAGCACCTCCAAAACCGTTAGTTCCGGGTACAACACTTCCTCCGATGCTGCTGCCGCTAACTGCTAGTCCACCTCCTCTCCCATTGTTGCCTCCAAAAGTTCCTCTCGTAGTACCACGGCCGGGAGAACCTCCTCCTCCACCTCCGTTACCATTATATCCGTCGTTTGCAAGAGGAGCTCCCCCGAAAGCTCCATTGAAGTTAGTTAATGATAACTGGGAGGCGGCTGGGGCCTGGAGATCATCGAGGTAGGCGGCGCTGGTCACACCTATGAGGACTGGGAAGACTGTGGATGTGAACAGCGGGGAAAGATCACCTGATACTGTGACGTAAGTTATTAATCCAGTCGTTCTCACCTGCAAGTTACCAACATTACCAACAGAATAACACCGTAATGATGATTCTGGGAAGACTGAATGAAACTGAATAAAGAAATAACATAAGTGTTTTGTAGTATTGTAACTGCTACAAAATCAACGAATACCTCAGCAAATATGTATTATGTATGTTAATGATGCGCTGCGTTATGGTTGGTGGACTCTTACCCAGTACCAGAATGTTGTGAGCCGCACGAGCCATATCTGGGAGGCGTTGTACACTTGTGTTCTTCAGCGTCGCAGCGCAGGTAAGTTGATCAAGTGTGTACCTCCTTAGTAGAGGCAGAGGGCGATGTGATGATCGGTGATGGATTGCCGCCTTTTATACAGGAGAAGTTGTGAAGGTCAGCGGCAGGTCATGACGACGGCCTCAAGATGCAAGAGATAAACCTTCGCTACTACTCGCTGGTCCACAGGCTGACGCTTTCGTGTGCGGGAGTCGTGATCTTAACATTGTTATTTATTATTGTAGATTACTAAGACGGCTCTCGCTCTTAATGCAGTGAGCTAGAAGTGGTAATTTGACTGTGTTTACATTTAATTTAGTTTATTAATAAATACGAATATACGTACAGGAGGAAGTTGATATTGACTCGGCATTATCTTTATTTCTAGTGGGACATTCGCACCAAATTTCAGGTGTTTGTGAGCCAATAGGACCTGAGTTAGAGATGCAAAAAGAGAATAAATTTTCTCAGAGATTTACCCAAAACTTACTTGGTTCACACAGAAAGCTTATAAACTGCCTTATTTATTTATCGATTTCCACTAACCAAAGCTTATTTTACTTATTTTTATTTATTGTGAAACTAACGGCAAATGAGTAAAATAATAATAATAATAAGCTACCACTAGTTTTCCACATTCCCAGTTTGACAGATGTTCAATATACTGAACATAGTTTTTAAAATTTTTCTTATAACGAAGAACGAGGATAAATTTTCATCGATATAAGTTATTATTGTAAGAAATATCCAAACCTGATGGACACCTTAAGATGATCATTATGTTCTATCAGCTCTCCTTCACACCACCCTGAAGAACATTCCTCCAAATTTCCTCAGTAGTGAAGATAAAACACGACGCCGGAAACTTTTTTGTTACACAGTGGAATTATTTTATCTTGAATTAAAAATGTAAGAGCTAAAATCATCAAATCATTAACGTTCTATTTTTATGGTGATTTAGTGGTTAAGGTGTGCCATAGTCGAGTGGGTACAGCGCTCGTCTGCTGTCCTAAGGGTCGGTGGAAATGGGGGAGTGAAGGTGGCTGAGTGGCTGCCTTCTGGTGTAACGAAGACTGAGTGTGCCTTATCATGCCATGTCAACACTGTGCCTAGCGAGCAGTCATATTTGTGGGACCCAATTAAAATTTGTTCACAGTGTTGAAGGCCATTAACTCATTAGTTCAGCTCACACTACACTACACTACACTACACTACACTACACTACACCCAGGAAATGTTGCCCCACCACCAATACACCGACTTAGTCTTGAGAGAATTAGCAATAACAAAACTGTGTTATATCACAATATGATTCCTCGTCTTGTCAAATCTCACTTTATGTTTCACGGGTATTAGCCCACCCAGGCGCAGGTCACCGACCAACATCGGAGCCCGGTGTGAAAAAATGAACCAAAAATACAGAAATGGAAAAAAAAACAAAAAACAAATCAAGATTGAGAAACGATGTATATATGGTGTCAAAATATGAGAAACAATTGAGGCAGGAAGCCAGGTCAGCAAACCTGGGACTTGGTCACAATTTTTGTGATGCCATATGGCAGCAGGGTCTACCATTAGACAATACAATATGCTTCCAATATCTTCACAGGTGGTAGTAACTCCTTGTTTGATAGCTGCCTACTACACAGGGCCGGATTCAGGAGTGGGCAAAGTGGGCAGCTGCCCAGGGGCCTCCACATATTACAATATTTTATTCATTTGTTTATTCATTTGGATGATTTTTATTTTCATTCTTTAAAATTCATATTTATTTTTGACATGTGCGGTAGTAGCTATATCAGGGCTGGTCGACTTGAAACCACATGAATGACTCCAGTCATGTCTCAGTTTTGTGTGTGTGTGTGTTGGGAATTTGTACACTATCAATAAATATACAGTTAATTAAAAATTTCTCAATGTTCTAATTTCCTAAATATAACTGCATATGGCTTCAAAATTCTCCAAAGAAATGTTAAAATTTCAAAATTTCCCCGGGGGGCTTACAGCGCCCCCCGGAACTCCCAAATGTTTAGGCTCGCTTCACTCGCCACCCCACCCTCTTGGGTAGTTATAATGAGGGGGGGCCTCCACAAAGAGGCTGCCAATGGGCCTCCACAGGTCTAAATCCGGCATTGCTACTACGTCATTCATAAAAGGTTTTGTAAAATATTTATCAAAACCTTTCACAATGCCATGTACTGCACGAGTAGAGTAGAATCATCACGTAGCTTTTATCTCCGCTGTTCCTCTACCTCTACCAGTACCCAGAGCTGCCTTCATGTATAAAGTTATGAAATATTACATACCCCCAATGGAGGACCAAACCATCCGTTCACCAAAATAGAATCCAAAGTCATCTTTCTCTCACTCTAACCTGACTCGTTCTCTCCTCCTACCGAGAGGCTGGGTGCAATGTGGTGTAATGGTCAGCATGTTCGCCTCGCAAGCGAACGGAGCCGGGTTTGATTCCCGGGCAGGGTGAAACTATAGGCAAGTCTCTTTACGCCATTTGCCTCCGCCTACCCAGAAAAAATTGGGAACCTAGATGTTAATCGACTTGCGGATCGTGTTCCGCGGTAATAGTTAGCCAGTGCAGTTGGCGAGCTGTCCGGTCTTCTCGGACTATTCCTTGACATTGGGTCATGCAACTCGTTAACTTAGGGTGTGGTTGTTGTGTTGGCGACGGCTTCTACACCTAAAACATATTCACGCCTAACCGGCCATTGGGCCGGCCATCCCCGTTACACGAGGTGCAACCCTTATAAATTAACTTATAAAAAGACTAAAATAAAATATGATATATAAAGTTTATGATTTTTTATTTGTATTGCACGTATAAGACATATTAAAGGTTCTCAGATCAATATGGCACCGGAGTAACACCGCACTCTAACAAAATAGACATCCTATTAGACTAAATAAGTGTGGAATTTGGTAAGAAACTTAATAGGGAATAATATATAACTATATACATAAAATCTGAAATAACAGTAAAATGGTCGACGAGTCTCTGATTAGTTAAGAAGAACAGGTAAGTCATCAACAGGTGTGTAGCTCTTATTGTCTCACTCTAAATGATGTTTACGTTTAATGGCTGTAGGGACAAGACGGAGTGTTCTCAGGACAACTAACATGGAGAATAGGAAAATGTGATGTAAAAGTCATTAAACGAAAACACCATTTAGAATTTGCCGTGAAGCATAACCAATTGAGTTTATTTGCCAGGTGTCTGGTAGAGGCTAGATGGAGTTTGGTTGTTTTGGTTGCCATTACCACCGTTGGCGTTGTTGGTTGGGGTATCATACAATCTGGAAGGAGAACCACCATTGACGCTTCCGCCAGATGTGGTTGAGAACGATCCTTGAAGACCTGAAGCACCGCCAAATCTGCCACCATTACCACCATTGTAACCATTGTTGCCGCTACCATTTCCAGTGCCATAACCATTGCCATTTCCATTAGTTTGTCCAATTTGAGAGTTGAGGTCGTAGAATTGTTCAGCGGTGGAACAGTCGAAGTTGTACCACCAGTCACACACGAAGTACTGCTGGTTGAAGATGGTGCCGTTGGGACACAGGAAGGAGTCGATCCTGCCACCTTGTTGACAGATGTGGAACACCTGAGAATGTTGACTTAAATAAGTTCTTTGGATGTTGTTGTTTTCCAATAGTAAATATAATTTTTATGGTCCAAAGAAAAATGTACAAAATAATTTTGAATGTTAAGGTGGATGTCGTCATGGTTATACACTGTATATAATAGCGAAATGGGACACAAAGAATAACCAGAGTATAGACTCACCTGGCAGCCGGCCTCGGGAGCAGTGTCGGCGTAGTAGCCGGGAAGTTGACCGTCACAGGAGAAGCCGGTGTTGGGGACAAAGGCGAGGATGGGGTAGTCCTGGCCGGGGACGCCACCGCCAGGGATGGCGTCAGCGAGGTCAGCAATAGGATCACCACTACCTCCGTTGTATCCTCCGTTACCTCCACCGTTGCCTCCGATTCCTCCGTTGCCTCCGATTCCTCCGTTACCTCTGCCGTTACTACCACCATATCCTCCTCCGTTGCCACTGTTGCCTCCACCGTTGCTACCGCCGTAGCCTCCACTTCCCCCACCGTTGCCTCCGTTACCCCCACCGTTTCCACCACTATAACCCCCGTTACCTCCACTGTTACCACCACCGTAACCTCTGTTACCTCCACCGTTACCGTTAGGAAGAGAGAACTGGTTGGCAGCAGGACCCTGGAGGTCGTTGAGGTAGGCGGCGCTGGTCACACCCAGGAGAGCTAAGTGAGTGAGAACCAAGGAAACATTTACGTCAGTTTGTTGAAAATAAAGTAAAAAAAACTAAGTAGGTTTTACCTATTGAGGCTGAGACTAACCCAACAGGAGTGATAAAGACAGTGACATCATCAACAGTGTCCACGAGAGAGACCACACCTGCACAGTGTCTAAGGAACAGACTACTTAATATTGATGAAGATTATTGATGTTTTGTGTCCTAAAAGCTGAAATTATGTATCAATAAAGTATTTGTGGTGTTACTCCAAAATAGATACATAACATTGCAATTATTACACATTATGGGTGAGTCAAAGTTCTTCTGGTGAACAGAATATTATATTGGAACAACTGGTGGTGTGAAATGTTTGATAAGTCTGTTTAATATATTAATGAATCTTAAACTGATAATTCTTCTCGACTCGTCATTATTGTTTGTTAAGTTTTACTTGTATTGTTGGTTGTATTTTAAATATAATATAACATTAATTATCTGGAAATTACTAAAATCATTATTGATATATTTTCCTGTCTGTTGTCCACTATTTTTTACGTCACATAATAAGTAATGAAGGAACTTGTGGATCATAGCACCATGTATATCAACAGTCTGGTTTAGTTATACCACAAGAGTCAGGTCACAGTAGAAGTGTCACTAGTACAGTAATGTGGATGTACAACATTGGTGGTCATTCACAAGTCATTCCTTCTGTGGTCTCGTCTGCGGGACGGCTGTGTTGGTTCTTACCCAGCACCATAACTTTGCGTGTCACAGCAGCCATGTCTGGAAGGTGTAGCAACACTTTATTTACAGCTTCACTTCCAGTATTAGAAATTCCAGCAGGAGAGATGTGTGTCTGGTGGAGGCGGCGGTGGGTGTGATGTTGTGGCGGAGGTTACCGGCATATATACGAGGAGGAGCAGCAAGGTCAGGGGTGACGAGTGAAGGACTTCCTCCACTGTGTGAGAGGATCTACCCAGCCCGCCGTGACCCCCCACTGGGTGACAACATAACAGTGTGTGTGTGTGTGTGTGTGAGTGTGTGTGTGTGTGTGTTCACTCTTGATGTTATGAGTTATGATGCACTGTATAGCTGTGTTGAGGTCTTTCAGCGCATATTGTACTTCAGTAGTACATTATTCGTTTTTATATAGACTAAATGTATTTATTAGTTAGAGCGAATATGGAAAATTTAGAAACTGGCGTTAGACATAATACTGAACAGGTTTTTGAAGTTTTGTTTGCTTATTGTAAAGTAGATGATACCAATTAAAATGGTTCAATAACTGCAAGAGTTATCAACAGTTTTTAAGTAAACATTTGTTCTTATTTCATACTTCTGAAGAAGATTTGAAAGACGTATCTGTTTATTGTTACATATATTACCTATATTCACTTCTACTTCGCCTTGAGACATAACGTTAATTTCAATATAGGTTGAATTTTTATCTGAAGTTTGAACAGTTGTGTACCTACAGGGGAACAATCACTTAGATGAACATAAAACCTGAAAGTTCATAATCCAGTAATACCACAAGAACCAGAGCTAAGCACAATATTATTTGCCAGGTGTCTGATAGAGGCTAGATGGAGTTTGGTTGTTTTGGTTGCCATGACCACCGTTGGCGTTGTTGGTTGGGGGTATCATACAACCTGGAAGGAGAACCACCATTCACGTTTACGCCAGATGTGGTTTTGAACGATCCTTGAAAACTTGAGGCACCGCCAAATCTGACCACAATTTAATGTTGTAACTATAATTGCCATTGTCAGTTCATGCCATATCTATTACCATTTTTGTGCTGTAAGCATTGCCATTAACGTTTTATTTTCTGTGTCCAATCTGAGCGTTGAGACGTACAACTGTATGTGTGGTGTCCTGATAAATTATTATGGGATACTTCATAACATTATATAATTAGTCATTAGGAACCAACACAAAAGATACCGGTATAATATTATGAAAAATCTATGTTAAAAGTTAAACATATAAACAAAAATAGTATATCGGATACGATGATGGCGCCTACTTTGGCGCCTTGATTTGTGGAATTGTTTGAGGGCCGGATGTGGCCCGCGGGCCGCTGGTTGGGCTAGTTTTGTAATTTGGAGAGAGGAGATAGAAAATGACTGATAAATATGCTAGTAATTCAGACACACACACACACACACACACACACACACACCCCTGCTGTAGGCAAACAAACAGGAGATAAAACATCTACCAGTAAGTACAAACATCCACGTACTGTATATGTGTATGTTGTATAATGTATTATTTTACACTTGTTATCTACTACCTAAGTCTCTTTAACTCACTAAATATTCTGTTCTTCTATTACACTCTTCTTTCACCTCCTCTTTCTCTACAAGACAAGACATGAAAACTCCCGCCGTTATTGAGGGACGCCTTCCAGTCTTTGGCAACTGTACACGGAGCTACTGGCGGTTGCGGCCTCCGTCAGTACTCCCAGTGTTAGCGCCATCGTGTACCTTCATTTTCATTACCGCCATCCATCAGTGTGTGTTGGACCATAATTATGTTCACTGGATATTTCGTTACTCCATCTTCTTCCACAAAGGTCTTCCAACCCTCCAAGACCCTACAGTTCAGCAACTATTGACCCATTATAAGAGACTCGGTGAATATTCCTTCTAAAAATGTTCTTTCATCATCTGTGGTATATCACATAATGATGTCCTATTTTTCCCTCTCGTCGGGGTTCACATAAAATATTTACCTATTAAATTCTTCACTTAAACAATTTCTCTTGTACTGACTCCCCCATTATAATATCATTCCTCAGTGTTTAAGACATTCACTGCTTCAGTTCTCATGTTTTACCGCTGTTACTCCTGTACCTCGCCTAACAACCTGGAGGCAACCCTAACACCGTATACAAGTCATTAACTCTCTGTGGGGACGGAACACACTCGTCCACCTGAACAAAACCCAAGTCAACTTTCTCAAGGCTGACTCGCCCTCTCCTCTACCTACCGACAGGCTGGTTGTGAATCAATTTATTTAAAGACGAAAGGTTAATTGGAATTGATATGTAATGTTTATGATTTTTTATTTGTATTGCACGTATAAAACATATCAAAGGTTCTCAGATCAATATGGCACCGGAGTAACACCGCACTCTAACATAATAGACATCCTATTAGATTGAATAAGTATGAAATTTGGTAAGATACCGAATAGGAAATAATATATAACTATATACATAAAATCTGAAATAACAGTAAAATAGTCGACGAGTCTCTAATTAGTTAAGAAGAACAGGTAAGTCATCAACAGGTGTGTAGCTCTTATTGTCTCACTCTAAATGATGTTTACGTTTAATGGCTGTAGGGACAAGACGGAGTGTTCTCAGGACAACTAACATGGAGAATAGGAAAATGTGATGTAAAAGTCATTAAACGAAAACACCATTTAGAATTTGTCGTGAAGCATAACCAATTGAGTTTATTTGCCAGGTGTCTGGTAGAGGCTAGATGGAGTTTGGTTGTTTTGGTTGCCATTACCACCGTTGGCGTTGTTGGTTGGGGTATCATACAATCTGGAAGGAGAACCACCATTGACGCTTCCGCCAGATGTGGTTGAGAACGATCCTTGAAGACCTGAAGCACCGCCAAATCTGCCACCATTACCACCATTGTAACCATTGTTGCCATTACCATTTCCAGTGCCATAACCATTGCCATTTCCATTAGTTTGTCCAATTTGAGAGTTGAGGTCGTAGAATTGTTCAGCGGTGGAACAGTCGAAGTTGTACCACCAGTCACACACGAAGTACTGCTGGTTGAAGATGGTGCCGTTGGGACACAGGAAGGAGTCGATCCTGCCACCTTGTTGACAGATGTGGAACACCTGAGAATGTTGACTTAAATAAGTTCTTTGGATGTTGTTGTTTTCCAATAGTAAATATAATTTTTATGGTCCAAAGAAAAATGTACAAAATAATTTTGAATGTTAAGGTGGATGTCGTCATGGTTATACACTGTATAATAGCGAAATGGGACACAATGAATAGGTTGAGAGTATAGACTCACCTGGCAGCCGGCCTCGGGAGCAGTGTCGGCGTAGTAGCCGGGAAGTTGACCGTCACAGGAGAAGCCGGTGTTGGGGACAAAGGCGAGGATGGGGTAGTCCTGGCCGGGGACGCCACCGCCAGGGATGGCGTCAGCGAGGTCAGCAATAGGATCACCACTACCTCCGTTGTATCCTCCGTTACCTCCACCGTTGCCTCCGATTCCTCCGTTGCCTCCGATTCCTCCGTTACCTCTGCCGTTACTACCACCATATCCTCCTCCGTTGCCACTGTTGCCTCCACCGTTGCTACCGCCGTAGCCTCCACTTCCCCCACCGTTGCCTCCGTTACCCCCACCGTTTCCACCACTATAACCCCCGTTACCTCCACTGTTACCACCACCGTAACCTCTGTTACCTCCACCGTTACCGTTAGGAAGAGAGAACTGGTTGGCAGCAGGACCCTGGAGGTCGTTGAGGTAGGCGGCGCTGGTCACACCCAGGAGAGCTAAGTGAGTGAGAACCAAGGAAACATTTACGTCAGTTTGTTGAAAATAAAGTAAAAAAAACTAAGTAGGTTTTACCTATTGAGGCTGAGACTAACCCAACAGGAGTGATAAAGACAGTGACATCATCAACAGTGTCCACGAGAGAGACCACACCTGCACAGTGTCTAAGGAACAGACTACTTAATATTGATGAAGATTATTGATGTTATGTGTCCTAAAAGCTGAAATTATGTATCAATAAAGTATTTGTGGTGTTACTCCAAAATAGATACATAACATTGCAATTATTACACATTATGGGTGAGTCAAAGTTCTTCTGGAGAACAGAATATTATATTGGAACAACTGGTGGTGTGAAATGTTTGATAAGCCTGTTTAATATATTAATGAATCTTAAACTGATAATTCTTCTCGACTCGTCATTATTGTTTGTTAAGTTTTACTTGTATTGTTGGTTGTATTTTAAATATAATATAACATTAATTATCTGGAAATTACTAAAATCATTATTGATATGTTTTCCTGTCTGTTGTCCACTATTTGTTACGTCACATAATAAGTAATGAAGGAACTTGTGGATCATAGCACCATGTATATCAACAGTCTGGTTTAGTTATAACACAAGAGTCAGGTCACAGTAGAAGTGTCACTAGTACAGTAATGTGGATGTACAACATTGGTGGTCATTCACAAGTCATTCCTTCTGTGGTCTCGTCTGCGGGACGGCTGTGTTGGTTCTTACCCAGCACCATAACTTTGCGTGTCACAGCAGCCATGTCTGGAAGGTGTAGCAACACGTTCTTTACAGCTTCACTTCCAGTATTGGAAATTCCAGCAGGAGAGATGTGTGTCTGGTGGAGGCGGCGGTGGGTGTGATGTTGTGGCGGAGGTTACCGGCATATATACGAGGAGGAGCAGCAAGGTCAGGGGTGACGAGTGAAGGACTTCCTCCACTGTGTGAGAGGATCTACCCAGCCCGCCGTGACCCCCCACTGGGTGACAACATAACAGTGTGTGTGTGTGTGTGTGTGTGTGTGTGTGTGTGTGTGTGTTCACTCTTGATGTTATGATGTACTGTATAACTGCATTAAGGTCTTTGAGCGCATAGTGTACTTTAGTAGTACATTAGTCATGGTTATATAGACTAAATATATTTATTAGTTAGAGTGAATATCGATATGTTAGAAACTGGCATTAGACATAATACTGAGCAGCTTTTAGAAGTTTTGTTTGCTTATTGTAAATTAAATGATAACACTTAAAATGGTTCAATAACTGCAAGAGTTATCAACAGTTTTTAAGTAAACATTTGTTCTTATTTCATACTTCTGAAGAAGATTTGAAAGACGTATCTCTTTATTGTTACATATATTACCTATATTCACTTCTACTTCGCCTTGAGACATAACGTTAATTTCAATATAGGTTTAATTTTATCTGAAGTTTGAACAATTGTGTACCTACAGGGGAACAATCACTTAGATGAACAAAAAGCCTGAAGGTGCTGAATCCAGTAATACCACAGTGACCAGATCTAAACACAAGATTCTTTGCCAGGTGTTTGAGAGAGGCCAGGTGGAGTTTGGTTGTTCTGGCTGCCATTACCATTATTCACGTGACCGCCAGATGTGGTTGAGAACGATCCTTGAAGACCTGAAGCACCACTAAATCTGCCACCATTAATGGTGGCATTGCCATTGCGATTTAATTGTCACACTAATTGCCATATTTTGTGCCGTAAGCTTTGGCATTAACGTTTCCATTTCTGTGTATAATCTGAGCGTTGAGACGTACAAGTGTATGAATGGTGTCCTGATATATTATTATCAACCATTTTATAACACTATATAACTCGGTATTAGTTTAAAAAAAATTATATATATATATATATATATATATATATATATATATATATATATATATATATATATATAAATAAATAAATAAATAAATAAATAAATAAATAAATAAATAAATAAATAAATAAATAAATAAATATATATATATATATATATATATATATATATATATATATATATATATATATATATATATATAATATGAAAAATTAGTGAAAATTATACATGTATAAACCAAAAATGGTATCTCGGATGACAGCATATATTTTGGCGCCTTGATTTATAGAATTGATTGCGGGCCGTGTCTGGCCTGCGGGCCGCTGGTTGGGCAGGTTTAGTAAATCGGAGAAAGGAGATAGAAAATTAATGTTAGATGTGCTAAGAATAAACACACACACACACACACACACACACACACACACACACACACACACACACACACACACACACACACACACACACACACACACACACACACACACACACACACACACACACACACACACACCTGCTGTAGGCAAACAAGCAGGAGATAAAACATCTACCAGTAAGTACAAACATCCACGTACTGTATATGTGTATACTGTATAATGTATTATTTTACACCTGTTAACTACTGCCTCTGTCTCTTTAACTCACTAAATATTCTGTTCTTCTATTACAATCTTCTTTCACCTCCTCTTACTCTACAAGACAAAAAAAAAATCTCCCGCCGTCTTTCCGGGGCTCTACTAGTCTGTGGCAACTGTACACGGAGCTACTGGCGGTTGAGGCCTCCGTCAGTATTCCCAGTGTTCGCGTCATCGTGTACCTTCATTACCGCCATCCATCAGTGTGTGTTGGACCATAGTTATGTTCACTTGATATTTCATTACTCCGTCTTCTTCCACAAAGGTCTTCCAAGTCTTTACTTTCCTACAGGTCAGTTTCTCTTGATTCTTTTTCATTGTCTAGGTGAATCACACAATGGATCCTCATATTTTTATGCGATGGTCTTGCTGTGGTTACTGATCAGGGGGAAAAAATCATCTTATTTATTAATTTATATAATTTTATTCATGGTGAGTCATCCGATATAATAAATCCTCGTGTATCTCTATGAATACAACACAATGTTTATTTGTTGGTGAGTATGTGTTCGCTTGGCTTGACTTATATTTTGAAGACAGACAGATTGAATTTGGTATGAAGATGTGCTTACACCCCTGTAGTGTCCCGAAGGTGGAATTTTAAGGGACTGGGTCTAATAGTCTGCCCTCTAAGCCAACAGTTTTTAACATTATTGAAATTTTGGTGTGGTTGTTTTGTTGCGGGTGATGTTAATTTTGACCAAGTATAAAGAAGTGGTTATAATGTTAATGATTTTGTCGTGGATTTCTTGCAAGACAGTGTAGTGGATTGTGTGTAGATGATAGTGCATTGGATATAGTGAGATGACAGTGACTGTAGTTGATATCGTGTACAGTAGATGATAGTGTTGTCACGGATATAGGTCATGAGTTGTTCCTTAAAAACAAACCCGAGTAACACCGGGTTAGACAATATTCTTAGTTTCAACATTTACCGCTGTTACTCCTGTACCTCGGCTACCAACCTGGAGGCAACCCTAACACTGTATACAAGTCATTAACCCTCTGTGGGGACGGAACACACTCGTCCATCTGAACAAAACCCAAGTGAACTTTCTCTATACTGACTCGTCCTCACCTCTACCTACCGAGAGGCTGGATGTGGATCAACTCAAAGACGAAAGGTAAAGTCAAAATAATATATAATATTTATGATTTTTTATTCGTAATTGCACGTATAAAACAAAATATATTATAAAAGGTTCTCAGATCAATATGGCACCGGAGTATAAGACCGCACTCTAACATAATATGTGTTCTATTAGACTCTATAAATGTTGATAATTTTAATAAGAACCTGAGTATTAGAAGGATTGATAACTACAGATATATACATCATAACAATATCATGGTCGACGAGGTTCTGGATATGTTGAGGAATATTTCATCAACGTTTTGGCCAAACTCTGAATAATGTTTATAGTTGAATTTAATTACCTGTGTGGAGGAAGGGCCTTTTACCCATATATTACTACAGGTGAGGGAGAGGAGACAAGTGTAACCAATTAGATGGAAACATTATTGAGAGTTTGTCGTGGAGAGTAAAAAAAAATAAATCCACCAGTTTATTTGCCTGGTGTCTGATAGAGGCCAGATGGTGCCTGTACGTTTCCGTTGCCGCCGTTCCTGCCACCGTTACCGCCTCTGAAACCGCTATTTCTGTTGCCATTCCCACCGTTCCTGTTCCCGTTGGTATTCCTGGTTGGGGTTCCATAAGTCTGGGAACCACCATTTCCTCCACCATTTCCGTTGAAGCCATTTCCACTGCCGATTCCGTTACCATTTCCATTGCCGAAGCCGTTACCATTTACGTTGCCGAATCCGTTACCATTACCGTTATTATAACCATTGCCGTTACCATTCCCATTAGTTTTTCCAATTTCAGCGTTGAGACCGTAGAATTGTTCAGCGGTGGAACAGTCGAAGTTGAACCACCAGTCACACACGAAGTACTGCTGGTTGAAGATGGTGCCGTTGGGACACAGGAAGGAGTCGATCCTGCCTCCTTGTTGACAGATGTGGAACACCTGTCGAGGACATTAACATTAGGGAAACACAGAACAATTACTGGCGAGTGTGACAGATGTTTACCCTTTCAGAATAAAAAGAAAGTTACACAATGAAGATAACGGGTCGAGTTTGTCCATTAATTTCTTCATTATTTTACACCAATTGAACTGACCTTTGACCTAGGATGCTCATTGGCAGCCAGGAGATTATTTTGCACTATTCTTCAGTAAACGTGCTGAGGTATGGCTGTTCAAAATTTAGGTGAACCATTTACATAAAACTCCGAACATTATTTAGGGTTCTCAGAGCTTAAACTATAGGGCTGATGAAGAATATTGTCTCTTTTTTTTAATAACAAATGTTGACACCAGAAGATATAATAAATTTAGAAAAACTGTTTGTTGTCTATTAAATTTACAAGACAATGGTAACACCAAAAAGTGATCAGAAAACTTATTATTTACGTATTATTTTACTTATTCCAAAAGATATATAATAGACTTAATGATTAATAAATTAAAAGGTGAACTGGGGAGCATTATAACACCTGAATGATAAGACTGTCCCAAGGAGCATTCATAAGACTGCCTCGTCGACCAACATGACAGGTAGAAGTAACTCTACCTTCTGCTTCATCTCATAACTGTCAGCCATCCCGCCAGTGTCAGCATAAGCTTTTGGAATTCACCTTCATGACAGTATGATTAACTTTATTACTGCCAACCCCCATAGACTCACCTGGCAGCCACTACAGACTCACCTGGCAGCCACTAGAGACTCACCTGGCAGCCACTACAGACTCACCTGGCAGCCACTAGAGACTCACCTGGCAGCCGGCCTCGGGAGCAGTGTCGGCGTAGTAGCCGGGAATTTGACCGTCACAGGAGAAGCCGGTGTTGGGGACGAAGGCGAGGATGGGGTAGTCCTGGCCGGGGACGCCACCGCCAGGGATGACGTCAGCGAGGTCAGCAATAGGATCACCGCTACCTCCGTTGTATCCTCCGTTACCTCCGCCGTTGCCACCGCCGAATCCCCCGTTACCACCGCCGAATCCTCCGTTTCCTCCACCGTTGCCACCGCCGAATCCCCCGTTACCACCGCCGAATCCTCCGTTACCTCCACCGTTGCCACCGCCATATCCCCCGTTACCACCACCATATCCACCAGTGCCGCTGCGCTGAGGGAACTGGTTGGAAGCTTCACCCTGGAGGTCGTCGAGGTAGGCGGCGCTGGTGACGCCCAGGAGAACTAAGTAGACAGGGAGGGAGAGTGAGCACCAGGGGACACTGTATTAGTAGAGGGAGGGAAAGTTAACCAGAATATGATGAATTAATAACAAGTGTTGACATGAACGACATGCCGGAAGTTTAGTGGTACAGGTATGCATAAATGTTAATGATGATGCATATAGTTATGAAATTAATTCTTATGACTCAATACATCCAAGTTTTGGCCAGTAAACACCGACTTTGTTGTTATTAATGGACTGAAGACATTATATTGTAACTATTGTTTAACGTTACACAATTTCTTTATTGATCAATGAATTAATTCCAAACTATGTCTAGGTTTTAGGTAATTTTAAGAAGGTGAATTATATAAAGTGTGTCGTCTGTTACAGGGCAGTAAAATGTAAGTGTGTGTGTGTGTGTGTGTGTGTGTGTGTGTGTGTGTGTGTGTGTGTGTGTGCATGAGTCACAGGGTGTTAAAGTAACATTAGACCACAACTCAGTAATTATCTCCATCAATCATCGACTTATAACACAAGTGTCAGGTCCAGGTTGGTCGTCCGTCTCCTGACACAACACACAACAGTGGTGACGTCACTAGTACAGATCTACAACACTGCCGTCTGTGGTCTTGTCTGGGGCTTCTGTGTCGCTTCTTACCCAGCACCACAAATTTGCGAGTCACACCGGCCATGTCTGTATCACGCTCTCAACTTGGTCTATGTCACGCAGTTTCACTTTCAGCACGGGGAAGGAACAGCAGCAGGCGTGTGCTTGCTGGTCGGAGTCGACGACGGTTGTGTGGCTCTGAAGATGTGTTCCCGGTATTTATACATGAGCAGCGAGGAAAAGGGAGCGAGTTTAAGAGCTCACGCGGCCACCTTTCGTCGCTCATAAAGCACTGCCATGAATTCTGTACCTACGTATCTTGAGTCATAACAACAGGCACACATATATCTACACTCAATATAACACTTATTGAACACTTGTCACATCACCAATAGTAAAACACACAGACTGGTAGGTAATACAGTTTTCTGGCAACTCAAGTAAGGTCACGTGATTTGGAGGTCACGCCGCCTCTCTCGGAACTTTCGTGACATTGCGAAGATGATGAGGTAGAGAGAGAGAGACAGTGTAAGGTAAGACGGTGTTTCCTCAGTGTACAGTACATTAGGCAGTACCTGTATCTATATCAGTGAGGATGATGCAAGAGGTCTGGTAGTTCCTTTCTCGTCACATGTCCTGTACCTTCACAGCTCCCCGCAGAGGCTCCCACCTGGTGCTGAGAGAGAGAGAGAGAGAGAGAGAGAGAGAGAGAGAGAGAGAGAGAGAGAGAGAGTTGTTATAGGTGTATATTTGTGTATGTTTGAGTATGCTTAATGGATCTATGGTAATAAATCTCGAGTGTATAAATCCTTTCAAACGATTCAGAATTAAATGATAGTATTAGCTACATAATTTACTGTTGTTATATTAAGTGTCTTCTTTATTTTCATATATCCTTTAGTATTCTTTAATTTTATTTCTATTTATTATCTTTTGTCTCAGTTCTTTTAATTTACGTCTCTGGAATCACACACACACACACACACACACACACACACACACACACACACACACACACACACACACACACACACACACACGGTCGGAGCTCCACCTGTTACACTGTATTTACTGCGGTCACGGCCCACAGAGTCCACTTCACCCGGGGCTTAATGACCGACCCGATGCCCCCTACCTAGCCACAGCAGTCACAGCATAACTTTACGACCCTTCACAACAACCCACATCTTCCCTACAGCCCTCCACAGTTCCGTATAGACAGCAAGCCTCCTCCACAGCATCCCACAGTTTCCCACAGCCCACAGCATCTGTTACCGCGGCTCAGCATCCAGCGACATCACAGAGTCGAGTATCTTCAACAACAGAGCGACACGTTATCGTACTCGCTAGCTTCTAGTGCCACCCTCATGACACCTACAGCTTCTAGTGCCACCCTCATGACACCTACAGCTTCTAGTGCCACCCTCATGACACCTACAGCTTCTAGTGCCACCCTCACGACACCTACAGCTTCTAGTGCCACCCTCACGACACCTACAGCTTCTAGTGCCACCCTCATGACACCTACAGCTTCTAGTGCCTCACGACACCTACAGCTTCTAGTGCCACCCAGCTTCTAGTGCCACCCTCACGACACCTACAGCCTCTAGTGCCACCCTCACGACACCTACAGCTTCTGTGCCACCCTCGACACCTGCAGCGAGCCACCCTCACGACACCTACAGCTTCTAGTGCCACCCTCACGACACCTACAGCTTCTAGTGCCACCCTCACGACACCTACAGCTTCTAGTGCCACCCTCACGACACCTACAGCTTCTAGTGCCACCCTCACGACACCTACAGCTTCCAGTGCCACCCTCACGACACCTACAGCTTCTAGTGCCACCCTCACGACACCTTCTCATCCTAATCTCATCAGGAGTAAATGCTGATGTAGCTTAATTACAATATATAATACGTCTTCAGTGTCTCAGAGGAGGATAAGAATGTCCAGTAAGACGACAGCCGCTGCTCACGACGGCTGTGTCTGGAAGTCTCATAAAACATTACACTCTGTGGTTAAGGCATATGTTTTCCCACCACGTTATAACTTAAACAGCATAATCAAACGTGCCATTGAGGGACTTACTCAATTTTTTTTTCTTCACCAGTTTGTACAAAATCCGGTGATGTCTTAGTGACTCAGGTGTTTTATATTATCAGAGAAACTGGTGACAGGTAACACAATGTAGCCAGAGAGTGACTTTTGTGTTGGTGAATCTCATCATAGTGTTGGTGCTCAGTGACCCAGAATACTGTGATTGTATTAAGAGGATCTTTCTCTCAGTTAATGGTCATTACTTGTCAAAATGAACAAAGACACCGGGTATGACAACCTCAGTCGACCACAACAATTAATTAATAAACAACCACATGCACTTTAGCCGGAGAGAAGAGTGCCCCCCCCCCCTGGCACTTATTGTTTATGAAGTTATGTCACTCTTTAATTAGTAATGGCACCCCACCACACATGATGCTATAATGGAGTTGAGGGATTTTTTTATCGCATTAACACAAAGATAAAAACCACTTAAATCACCCTACTTCGGGAGAAAAAAATATAGAGAGATAATTTTTACCTAGAGGCTCTGCTAATAAAGCCACATCACCAGGTACTCGCTAAGATAAACCTGAGTACACTGTGACTGTACTGTGATAGAGTTCTTACCTGTCTGTGTCATCCACCTGTAGTGTACCTAAAACCTTACGTTATTTTCTCTTGGTATAAAAGCGATAAGTGTGGGATTCCTGCATAACAATAACCAGAGACTCGTTGCAGCTTAAGTAGTGCTCTGGGTGTTGGTGAGAGCCCCAGGACTCCTCCACACAGTGTTACGCCACCTGCCTCCCACTCCTCTCACTGATCCTTTATCAACCTACATTCTCCCCCACTCTCCCTCTCACTTCCTCTCATCCTAACCTAAACTAATAAGAGTAAATGCTCTCACCTAGCCCTTGTTCTACCTTCACAACCACCTTCTGTTGGTCATTTTCATTATATACTTTGTTTTACTTTCACTTCACATAAATTGGTCGTCCACATAATTTCACCGTTTCCTTTCCCTTTAGTTACTCTCTAATTACCCCACTCACATATTTTTTTTCAACAGATATTTTTGCTTTTCCTTGTAGGGACAGAATCATTCCATATCATAGTTTCTCTCTCTCAGTCTTCCTCACGTTCAGATACTTTCCGCATTCCTGTACATCACTGATCACTCGTTTTAGGTGAGTACAGGCAGGAGACAAGGAAGTGTTCTGTGTGTGTTCAATAAAGTGATGATAGACTGTTTCTGTTTTACGGAAGTTGCGTAAAAAGTCAACAGTAACGATAATTTAGAAGTCATCATCTGTTATACTGTCCTAGAAACGATATAACAGAATTGAATTACGGAAACAATGGCCACTTAGCTGTTAAAAATAAACAACTAATTCACAAGCTGAGTCTGTCTGGACTAGCTTGGCTGAGTTGAGAAGCACAGGCCAGTCTTTATGAGCTGGGGGGTGGGGGGGAGGGGGTTGTCTGTATTAGCTGGGAGGCAAGTCTGTCAGTCAGTCAGTCAGTCAGTCAGTCAGTCAGTCAGTCAGTCAGCATTTGTATTCACTAACTGACAGATACAAGGAAATAAAAGTATACTCGAGTGATTAGAAACAAAAATTAACAATCGAACATTTAATTACCTGTGAAAATACAATATAAAGGTAAAGCTGGATTAATTTAACCAATAATACAACATAATTACCACAGACGGTTCACGACGGAGGGTGAGTGAGCAGCTCCTTGACACACAACACTGGAGGAAAGTCAACGTGTGGGCGGTGAAAGACTCGTGGGAGAAAGTAGGAAATCCCAGTGAGGTACCACAGGTGTCGCGACTCACCTGTGGCGTCAACAACAAGGCAGTGAAAAAGACGTGCTACATGGCTGAGGAGAGAGAGAGAGAGCAATCGTATTATCAGAAAATAAAATCTTTCATCAGTTCCACTTCCGTTGTAGATGACAGTCATAAACAAAAGCAAATACGGTGATCATTAATTGTCATCCATCCAAGTCACAGTAATAATAACAAGAATCACATCTGAGTGCACCAACACAGAGACAGTTATCCTCATTATTACAGCGCCAATAACACCAATAGAGCGACAATAAGTGAATCAATAATACCGTCATTATATCCCAAACCAATGCCCAAATTTCACAGGCATTAAGACTGACAGACACCATCAGAATGACAGTCTTCACAGCACGGAGGCGAGAGGAGTTGATACAAACATTGGATCTGCAGTGTGGTAACTATAATGGCAATTACAGCATCAGCTATATAATACAACAACAGCAAAAGTAGTCTCAGTAAGAGCAATTGCAAAACAGTCCTCATTAGAGCAGTAACGACCGTGTCAACTATGTCGTCAGACGATAACACGAACCATCAACAGCCAACAACAACAACACCAGTAAACCAAATAATAATAATATCATCCTCACATAAAGCAACAAAAGTCAATCTATAAAACAGTAACGCCAGGCATAACACAGTAACGCCAGGCATAACACAGTAACGCCAGGCATAACACAGTAACGCCAGGCATAACACAGAAACGCCAGGCATAACACAGTAACGCCAGGCATAACACAGTAACGCCAGGCATAACACAGTAACGCCAGGCATAACACAGAAACGCCAGGTATAACACAGTAACGCCAGGCATAACACAGTAACGCCAGGCATAACACAGTAACGCCGGGCATAACACAGTAACGCCAAGCATAACACAGTAACGCCAGGCATAACACAGTAACGCCAGGCATAACACGTAGCGCCAAGCATAACACAGTAACGCCAGGCATAACACAGTAACGCCAGGCATAACACAGTAACGCCAGGCATAACACAGTAACGCCAGGCATAACACAGTAACGCCAGGCATAACAACAGCGGTAGCAGCATCTCCCTACCACATCGTCACCACAACACCTCACAAATAAATAACGTTGTGTGAGTCTTGAGGGTTATCGCCTGGTTGTGTCGTCTCGAGTTTTATGAGGCAAGAAGTGACGGAAAGATTAGTGAGGTGTCAAGAAACAATGGCAGATGTGAGGAGCCGCAGCGTCCTCCTCATCTTGACAAGCTGAAGGGAGGAAGGGGGGCAAATAAAGGGGGTAATCTAGGGGGGTGAGGGTGATCAAGGGGGGTAGGG